CCGCAAGAGTATGCGCATAGGTCTATATTAGATAGAGTATAGAAATAATCATAGTTAGATCTGTGAGCAAGTAGCTTACCTAAAAGCTGCGGTTTAGAAATAAGATGGATCACAGTTTTTCAACTTTAGTATTGAATTTCACCCCTTAGTATCTATCCCCATCCTCTCCAATGGCAGACCTGCCTATAAAATTTCCAGAAAGCCATCCTGAAGTTAAACATTATTGAGAAATGAAATGAAACTAGCACCTGATGAGCTCACTGCAACGTGAATAATCTGAACTAAGAAGGATTGCATAGTCTTACCAAAAGATTCATATTCATTCTTCCAATTGTAGTGGACATGACGGTCCTGGTTTTAGTCTTTCCAGGAATCATAGATGTAGCTTGTTGAATAGTCTTAAAATAGAACAAAATACAATCTATCCCACCACATCTTGCCAATTTTTAGGGGAAAAAATACTTCGTCTAACCTTCTACATTAGGAAGTTCAGATAATCTATTATCACTTAGCCTCTGCGTTCACAGCTTGTTAAATCTGTCTGGGATTCTGCTTTATTCTTATTTACTACCCCGTTCCTTAATCTTTCCTGGGCCCCTTAAAGAAAAAGATACTTTGTACTATTGTGGTAGACACTTAAGGCTTTAGCGATGGTGAGTGTTGAGGCTCTAAGGGGCAACAGAGGCAGAAACGTTGACTCTTGCCCAACTCATTTTATTCACAAATCCCCACTTTGCATCTAATCAGGTAGAACTCCATGAAAGACTTAATGCTTGCTTGACTAAATACAAAAACTCAACGATAACTTCATTGGCACAAATTTTACGTGATGAAGATATGTGCTGAGCATGAAACTGTTAAGTTATTGCAAAAGATTAAAGAGACGGTTCTGTTTGTTCCTCCTGCCAATGATATATTGTTGCCATCATCCGTGTAAGAAATCTAGAAGATGTTACCTCGTTCACTTACCTAGGCAACATCGTTTCAACTGCAGGCAGCATGAATAAGGAATTCAAGGTCAGGGTGGAATCGGGAAGACAAGACAGACTTTCATCACTCTGAAACTACTATGGGAATCTGCTAAACTCCGAATGATGGGCGAGATTCAAATTCCCAACACTGATGTCAGATCGTTCTTCTTTACTCTTCAGACACTTGGTGTAAGTTTCACCAATAGCGTTGTTTCTAACATGCTTTAGACTCTCATAGACAGCTGCCTTCTGTCCATATTGAAGATCAGATGACCCTAAAATGACTAACACTGAGGAACTTTGACAGACTACGAACTAATTAAGAACCACTTATGTAGGAGGAAATGGAGAAGGATTGGACAGACGTGTAGAAGACTGTTAAGTGACATCATAACATAAGCTAGGCCATCAAGAGGAACCTGAAAGCGAAATGACAAGTTGGTCGTGGATCGAAGGGTGGTATCTAGACGATTGTGTGAGGAGGAAATGAGTACTTTTGCCTATGGTGTTAACAGATGAAAAAGACAGCAGAGAACAGAATGAAGTAGTTGTGTGTTGTTGAAGCCCATTTTCCACTTGGAACCTAAGAGAATAAGTAATAATACATTACTGATATTATTATCAATGTAAATGTTCTGTTCATTATATTTTTCCTTTCTTATTTTTGATGTAAAGAGAAAGCCAGATAAAATTTTGTATGTGTACTGTATTGCTGAGAATTGTACACTGTATCATATGTACTGTTTTTGGCTATAAAGCCATGATGAATGTACGTGTAATTTTTCACACAGATATTGTATCATTTCTTTTCTTTCTCAAGATTAATTTTTTAATCTGAAAAATTATCTGAAGTTATTAGTCTAAATTTGTTTTAAACGTGTGTGTACAAACCATGAATTCGACCTTTTAAATGTTTTTAAATATCACCTCACCCTTGCCTACTACATACAAGCACAGTCAGTCACATAGGCTGTTGGCGTCAGTTAGTTCACTCATTGATGAAGTCAGTTTTTTTTTAGATTTCGTTTCCAAAAGCCAAAATGAAAAAATAGTTATTGTACATAGTTATATCGCATAAATTGCATTCTAGTTTGACGCCATTATTCCAAATGTATATGTTATTCCAATTGTTTATTTATATTCAAGTAGATTGTAAAATTTGTGAAAAGAATTTCAATGTATTTGTATGTCGATGTCGAAGTTAAATGAATTCGCTTGTAAATCTGTTCATATACAGTTTTCCTTACACATTAAGATAAAAACAAACAAGAAAATTAAGCCTATTTTTAAGAATTAGTTTGTAGGAATTCTATTTGTTTGAGGCTAGACGATGGATTGATATCAGTTAGAGAACCATTGAAAACCAAGGAGTACTGGACAGCTGTTTCATCCTAGTTTGGGAATTATCAGCAGTACGCACCCGCTGGGGTTCGAAACCAGGACCTTCCAGTTACAGGACAAGGTCGTATATCATTCAGCCACTGAGACCCGATTCAGTGGCCAACCGACTACCTGACTATGTCATCGACGGGAACTCTATCCTCACTCCTGATTGCATGTGTATTTATATTTTCCGTCATCACCACCAAGTTTGGCGTAAGGACAGAAATTCACTCTTTGTATCACATCATCTCTTGATTGGACTTCTTATACACCAATTTAGATTGATCTTACGAGTCCTATTCACTGTATTTTAATACACCTGAATGAGTAATTACCATTGACTTATCAAACTTGCCACCTCTAACCACAATTTTCTACGAGAGACTTTTTTCTTATAACATAAATGCGTAATTAATACTGGAGGACTGACTCCTGCTAATAAATAAAAGTATATTAAAATTGTATTATAATTTAATTCATTGAATATTACAGGCTGTACGCAGCTTAAAGACAACAATGGATTCATGCTATTCTGCGCCATTCTATGCTCTTTATCTGTTTAAATTTATGAAAGGAAATCTCTGTATAAAGATTACAGTTCACGTGAGTTTCGTTCCACTTTTCCCTAATGACACTGTCACATACCTAATCAGTGGATGTCGATCAAAAGTCAAAATAAGGTGAATTGATTACCCACCGTTCAGAGATCAATTCGTTAACTATGATGCACAAACGAAAACAACATGGTATCACTAGAAATCATTACTTAATTAATTCCTGCTCTTTAACCAATTATATACAAATCTCAAATACCATTCTGTAGAAAACAAAGGAAGTATTTTCAGAATGAAATCATATTGTCATTCTTCGGTTTTAGTTGGGTCTTCCGTTTTCAATCCCACCTTGACTTCTTGTAAATTCTCTACTTCAAGACTGTGTACTGAAGGATGTATTCCATTTTGTAGAAGAAAAGAGGTTGGTTTGGTGTATCAGGCACTACTGAGTGATTAAATTACGCGCTACTTTAATACAATTTAATCGGTATTTGACTGACACGACGGACTGATTTCATTTTACATCGATTGGCCATCATTGTGCAGCGAATGTCGTGAGTCTAGCTGACAGTGTGGTCATAAAGTTAGGTGACTGACAGGATTCAGTAAGTATCAACACCATTACAGTTCAACAAGTCATGTGAAGGTTTGAATAAATCAATGGTAACGTCTCTAACTGCATCAGTGGGTGATGTGGGTTAGAGTTTTCGAGAAGTTTCAAATCATTTCCTTTGAGGTCGCAAACAAACTTTTGTGATAATGAGAGCTGACAGGTTCAAAGCTTATATTCACGGCTTCTCGTTAATTGTCTGCAGTCATCTAACATATTACTGATTTCAGGATTTCAACATAAACCGATGTCAGTTCATTATGAAATCCTGGAACCAATCAAATCCCTGCAAAACAACGTTTGAATATTGTTGATTTATTTAAAGGATTTATTCAAGACATGCATAGTCCATTAAATAGACTGCTCACTCAGTTTCGTATAGAATTTATTTTCCTTCAAGTAATACAGCCTATAGATAGATACCAATCGTTGATCTTTAACGTGACTGACTCACTGACACCCAGATAACGACTAGGCTTTCATTTTAGTTTTACTACTGAGAGTTTTGTTCGAACTTCACGCCTGCGGTTGACGTTTCACAACTAGACTTCCTCTTTTCAACTTACAACATTACTTTAAGACATCTAGTGAAGTGAGAAGGGAATAAAATCTTGTGGGTAATTTTACAGCAAACTTAAAATGACTGCAGAGAACAGAGTGGGATGAAGATATGCTGCTGAAGTCATATGTTTCACTAGGAATGGAATAATAGCACTGTCATAATAATCATGTAATAATATTAGATAATACGCTAGAGTCACTAAGAGACATGCTAGACAAATAGATAAAGTTAGGAAAGTTGAACAACGGACAAGCATCAGCGCGAATACACATCAGTGACCTCAGAACACTCAACTCAATCAGCGCAGACAAGTAACATTAATATTTATGAGAAGCGTTTGAAAGGAGTGTGGGAGTATTAAATTGAGATAAATGGTTAATTTAAGGTTAGTTTAGGGAAAGATTAGGGTCACAGCTGGGTTAAGGATAAGTTACGGTTAGGAATCTAAAATCGCTTTCTAGAGCAGTTGCTTGGTTCAAGATCATTGATGTGTTCACCCCTGATGGCTGCTTTTTCTTTACCTATGCTTTACAGTTTTAAGTTTAGGGCATTTAGAAGCTCTGATTTTGTTAGGTGGGCGTTTAGACATCATATTGAACAACCACAGCAACTTCCACTGATCAGCATTAGATTATTAATAATTATATTACTGAAGTATTGAAAATTATTGAAAAATTATATTTTCGAAGTAAAAGTCATTCTGTATTAGAAATTATCTTAATTTATTAAATTTTAATTAGTCATAATAATGATATTAATGAAATAAGGATATATATACTTTGTAAAAGGAAATATAAAAGATTTTAGCAATTTTCTGATGAAAGATAGGAATCTGTGCAAATTGTTCTCCCAATTAATGCGTTTGTTTAAACACGTTATTGGAGGGACCTTGATGTTTGATATTCTGCTTATTATTTGATTTATTTATTTTGTGGAGTTGAACTATTCTTATTCAACTGAATCGACGGTTTTGACTGGTTAGAAGGATTACTTTTAGCCTTTCCATCGTTCATTTGTAATTTTTTGTTCTCTTGATTGGTTTGTTCAGTTTTTTGTGTCATAGAATTTTCAATAACTTGACCAAGAATTTTTTCCACTTCAGTAATTATTGACTGTTTGGAAGAAAACAACAACAAAAATTAGGAAAAAGAACTATCAGTGATAACAAGGAAAAACGTGAAGCTTGCGCGAATTTATTTGATTTGTAAAATTATATTTTCAAGGGTTTATTTGTGGGGATTCGGTAGATTTCACGAGTGACTACGAATTAACTTCAGTTCGAGAGCCATTGAAAATCAGGTAGTACTTAATAGACACTTGTTTTTTCTAGTTTGAGACTTCTCAGTAGTAGTATGCATCCATCTCCCCAACAGGGTTCGAACCAAAGACCATCAGGTTACAAAGTGAGCTCTGAGACCATTCAGCCACTGGGATGGGATCTAATAACCCATCAAACACGAACAAAACAGCTGTCAAGTAAGTACTCACTGATTTTCAATGCTTCTCTAACTGAAGAAGGTTCATGATCAGTCTTGAAATCAATCAAATCCCTGCAGATCCACTCTTCCAAATCAGCGTAATGCTAATTAGTGATTGACTAAAGAATAAAGTTTCCTGAAGTTCTAGCGACAAGTAGTGACCAACAGGATTTCATGTCAGTAACTGAATGGTCTACGAACTGGCCTTATAACCTGGAGGTTCTGAGTCCCAAATCTTGGATGGTGGGTGCGTACTACTGAAGAACTTAGAAATGGGACGAAACAACTGTCCATTATGTATTCTTTGATTCCCAATGGTTCTCTAACTGAAGTCAGTTCTTGATCAATCGTGAGATTATATTCCTTTTAAGCGGAAGGGAGGGTCGAATTAAGTCGACAGACTATCCTCTTGATGTCAATGGAGAAGGATGATTGAGGATGAAGTGGGAATCTGAGTATCAGCTGCATCTTTCTGGCAATCTTCAACTTTAAGCCTCACTTGATTATTTAAGACAGTTCTCATCTTTGCAATGTAGTCATCTTTGTCCGTCAGCATCACCCCTGAACCTTTGACAGGTCACAGCATGACAATTTTATCATTATTTTTTAAAGCTTTCAATTTTTGATGTTCCTCAGAAAGCATTTTGCAATGTGACATTGGTGAAATATGGTATTAATCTGCAATGTCAACCAGCTTAGATTTCAACCAGCTCTTCTTCTCCTGATCATCTGGACTAAGGTCATTCAGTTAATTGAAGTAGTTTTCCAACTGAGCTGCGACATCGCTTCTTTTGACAAAGTTATTCGGAAAATGAAAGTTAAATCAGGGGGGGGCGGGAAGTGCTTCCATTTCAATTCTAATTAATTTCAAACTCGACAGATTATAGATAAAATTTTAAGGATCGTTTGCGAAGACTTCATACAATTTCTTTTTTTCAAGGATTTCGACAGTAATTTATATGTATACATTAATTTTTGTTTAAAAATGAATTGTCTGTGTAAGCATGTTTTAATTGTTTCTGTATATAAACTTAATAATGACTTTAGGCTGTAAGAAGCTGATGAGAGGCTAACGAAACAAATGATGGTACCATTTTATTCTACACAGTGTTATCGTTCTTGACTTATTCATCTACAGTTTTTATGTATCCAAAATAATGTAATAATGATTGTTACATCAGGTTTTTATATCACCACAGTAAGCTGAATAAGCTTCATCAAAATAAGTGATTAAGCGAAGAGACTCTTTTCAAAGAATTTATCATCAAGCTGTACAATCATATATATATATATATATATTTATATATATATATATATATATATGGTTTTGCTGAAGCTCTGGTAATCAAAGTAGAAAAGTCAAATTACTGTTTACAGAAAAAGTTCTTCCAACTCCTACAAATTTCATGGTCTTAATCTCTCCATGCTAAAGTACAATAATCCCTGCTTAGTTTCTGTTTCGTTTATTCAATTTGTATACTCTTCTTTTATGACGTCAATTGTTACTATTACTATTCTCACTTTGAATTTATTTCACTTGTTCCACTTATCATTCTAAATCAATTTTGTTTTGCAACGTTAAATTCTGTGTTATCAAATTGCACACAATGTTACGTGTAACGTTTTTATTTTTATTCGATTTGTCTCCTAATCCTATAATTGCATACCCCCCTCCAAGTTCTATATATGACATTCATTGTTTTACCACATTACATTGAACTATGATTATAATCACAAACTTTTTAATTGTACTTCGTTCTATTATTATCTGATGTGTTCACACCTATTATATATATATATGCACATATATACATATATGTTCGTTGAAAAGAGTCTCTTCGCTGAGTCACCACATTTTTTTACTTTCTATGTGTCCCAATGGGAATTTTCCATAAATAAGCTTCAAGCTACTGCTACTGCTACTATTATGGTTTATTTTCCAATGAAACATAAGGAAACATTGTGACTAATTGTTAGTCAGTGGTAAATTTTTCTACGAGTTGATCACGGATTGATATCAGTTAGAGAACCATTGAAAACCACGGAGTACTGGACAGCTGTCTCATCCAACTGGTTTGGGAATCATCAGCAGTACGCATCCGCTGGGGTTCGAACTCAGGACCTTCCAGTTACAAGGCAAGCTCGTATACCATTCAGCCGCTGGGACCCGATTCTATGCTCCATGACTTCTAACTTGTACTAATTCGTGACTTAACGCAACCCTAACCAATGTCGTCAGTACTCCCTGATTTTCAATGGTTTTCTAACTGATGTCAATCCGTGATCAACTCGTAAAAACAAAACTAATCCTTACAAACCAACTATAGAAAGGTATATTTTTCACCGATTAATAATTTCATTGAAGCTTCTACAAAATGAGTAAATATTTCATCATGCTTAGAATTACGCACAATGTGTGAATAAATTTTTCAGAATAAAATCAATACTTGAACACTTTTATTCTAATTGGTTGAGATACTTCAACATGTCTTATGACGTTAAGCATACAAAGTCTACTGTGTTCATAAGTGGTACAATGGTGAAAAAAGGAAGATACGTCAAATGATATCATGAATTTATTGTCAACATTTAAGTCTTTTATCCTTTCAATAAATCCAAAAGTATCCTTCACGCTGTGTTACACCAATTCGGTATGTAGAGGCTGTAAGATTTTGACTAACCATTTGGCTACGGGATGGTGTGGTGAATTTAACATATCTTATACTGGTCGAAGTTGTACACCATTTTCGTGCACTTTATGTGAACCATATAATCTTGTTTTGAACGCTCCAGTGGGTTTCAGTGATGTATACTGACAGTGTGAGATAAAGCCTTGTTGTTTCAGTCTTCGCAATGTTTCCGCTAACTGCTTCTCTATCTTTTCAATCGGATCCAGAGAAGATGAGATTTCCTGGAATTTTATATTGTACATAGGCCGTACAATTAGGCGTGTTTCTTGTCGGATTTCCGAACAACCACCTGTGTAGTTAAGTAAACGACAAACAAAATCTATTCTTAGCGCTATTCTATCTCATCTTGTGGATACAGAACACAAGATTGATGTCAACGAGGCTTTCCAAGTCATTTACCGTATACCAACAAATCTTAACTTCGCCTTAAGAGTTCGTCTACTACATACTGCTGAGGCTGTTGGGATCCACATTAAGTAGCCTAATTTATGTGTCCAAAAGAAGCTGGTTCAGACATTATTCTTACGATCCTTATTTTTTCGTAGAAATTTCCTTAATTTTATTTGATGTTCTATTTACTATTACATTTTAATGCTTATTATAATTTAAGCGTCTTTCTTGAACTGTAATTCCATTGATCTTACTTTACAAATCGATATTATTTAAAAAACACTAATATTGTTATTGACTACTGTTCTAGAAAATTCTATGTATTTACACATATATACAATTGTAGAGCCAGAAGAGGAAATTATCGAAAAGGATATTCTTTGCTCAATTATTTTGTTTTTTCCTTAATTGAGAATATTGAAATACTTACCGAGAAATTACTTATTCCTGTCATATTTGGTGTTGATACTTCTTTATGCAGAATTTTTAATGTACTGCCAAATTTTGTTAGCGCTTTATCCAAATTATCTGCAACAGACCTATTTCGATTATTTTGAAACATGAAGATAGAATTATTCTTGAAATAAAAATAATAATGAATTTTAGTTCAGATTTCATCAGAACTCAAAATCATCAAGAGAATCACTGAAGACTGAGGAATACTGGACAGTCGTTTCCTCCTAGGTTGGTATTCTTCATCACTGCGCACCTGTGACTCAACCGACCTGCCGTCAAACCTAGAACCTCCAAGTTATGAGATGATCGTGTCACAAACAAGGCACATGAATTTCTTCCTTCTTCCATTCATAATAAATAGCACTGTCAGAAGTCGATATTATCAGCCATACGTGATTTGGTGAACTCTGGCACCGGTGACGACTTCTCACTAAAATTCCAAAAAGTGCATCCTGAAGTCATGGGAGGTAGCTCTGAGTTAGGGACTGACATAAGTTAGAACTCATCAGTCACTGGATTTTTGTAGTATATTCGTGTCGTAAAGTGAGGAATGTGGATTTAATTGCCGATGGAGTCATGAGTGAGTACTACTGAAGAGTTTCAAACTGAGACGGAAACAAACAGACAAACCATTGTACTATACAGTTACTTTACAACAGTGTTGAGGTACTTTTTAAAACTTTTTATGTCAATAACCGTTGCTGAGTAGTATCATAGATTTTATCCAGTAGAAGTGTGTTTTTATGTTGTTGGAATAAAATCTTTAATTATAAGTGACTCATGAAAGTTTAGCGTACTAAGCATGAATAACGCGGCAAATTGTGTGTGCGTTATATCAACTTGGTTTCATTGGTTCAGTGCTTGTGTTTTGGTCGTAAAACAAACTATTAGTATTACATCTTCCATTGATTGTCTTTAGAGTATGGAAAATAGGGATTCAAGCTTTTGAGGTTTCAGTAGCTGTGTTATTTTTTTCATGGGGTGGGTTTCACAGATTCACGCCCATACTTCCCTCTTTTTCTGGCCCACTATGCGCTAGTTAGTCGGCCGGAAATTAAACCTTGACCATATACGAGGCAGGTGAACATTGTATCACCTAACCACTGACACATCCTCCTATTAATTAGTGTTGTATCATTTGTAGTGAGTTTACTAAATAAATAGACGATAAGAAAATTATTAAACACGTTGGAAACTTTAATTTAGACACGATTGACAGGCTATATTAACCTCAGCTAAGCTTTTCTAATCATTGTTTAGCTTAAATACTATATATGACTTTGAAATGAATCAGACTATCACACGTATATTTACACACTCATACACACACACACACCTACGTGAGTAATGAACGATAAAAAATCTCAACGTGTATGAAATAGTAAAGCCAGATCACAAGTTATGTATTCTGACTTATTATTCACCATTTAAATGAGATATTAGTTTAAAATATACATGTAATTCCGTTTTAAGAAGGTTAATCTTTGGAAAACGTATCATCCATCACTGTTTGAGAGACTATTATTCTCAGCAAAAAACTCTGTTTTATCTTCATTGCATTTACAAAGGTACAAAAGATCGTGATGCAGTCCTCCTGCCAAAGACTTTATGACCCCAACCAGTAATATTAAAAGGAGACATCTCATTTTAAAATGTCTGGTGAAATCCTATCCACACTATTGAAGTATCCGTACTGGGAACCGAAGTGCCAAAAGAAAACGGTTTTCATAGCTCAGTAGCCTAGTATACAGCACTTCGGGGTTCGAAGCGGTCTGTACTATGCTAGGTACTCAGTGGCCAAAGATATTACCTTTCTTATACATTTCCCTAAAAGACACAAGACTGATTAACTGACTGAAGGGAATTTTCAACATAGAACTTTGCACAAAAGTTCACCTGTTCTGGTCACTACGCTTCACAGGGTATACAAAAATGTAGTGGGGGAAATCCAAGGGAACTCTAATGAATGGAAGTGAACGTCAGATATATTAACTACATGAAGAACAGTGAAATTTTCATAGATCCCGGAGATCAGAAATAGAGAATAGGTCTGGGCCATGTTATTAACAGTCGCCAGAGTCTGGTTAGTAGGGTCTCTGAGATCACAGTCAGACAGTCTTCACCTCCCTACGTGGCTCAAACAAATAGTCAAGATGATATACACTGCTGCTATAACGGTTCTGTGCCCGTAGTAGTAGTAGAATGCCCACCAACCACGCTACACGTGGTCCGAAGTACCATTCCCTCCAATGCGTTCCAAACCTTGCTTAGTCGGGAGTAGGCCTGGAAAACAGGAAGGGCTTGACTAAGGGAGACTGGCAACTTCACCACTTACAAGCGAAAACACCACTGCTACTGAAACTCCAAGGCCAGGTTTGAAAGTCCATGTTCCACTCGGAATGTAAAGCAATAAAAAGAAGGTTTTGCTTGTTTGTTTGTTTTTAGAAAAGAGTGATAAAACAGACTCCCAACTTACACTAACGCTAAGCGATCTCTTCGATAGCTGTCCATAGGTGAAAACAATATCCCGCGCCTCTCCTGATAATGATAATATGAAGAAATAATATGCATAATGAACAAAGAATACTCTTTCTGATAAACTTGTTATTAGTTTCTACATTTATAGGACAGCAATAATTTAATATTGTTGTTAACAAAATTAATGTTTCAAATTACACTGAATTAATGGCATCGACAGATTACATTTCAAGAGCATCAGTAAGAGGTAATATGCATTAGTATTACACTAAATTGAATATCAGATAAATTAAGGGAATTAACACATAATTTATGAGTTTATAGGTTGCACAGCAGACTAGGCTAGCAACAGAGGCTGGATATGTCTGTCTCTTTTGCATTTAGGGCTCCAGTTGTTTTAGACGAATTGTAATGGCTTCTACTATTTGGAATGTGCGGTATCTAGCGATACCTCTTGACTGATTCGTTGCCACAATCCCTTATTGATTGTCCTTTCAAACTAGCCATCTGTTTTTCAGCATCATCGCGTGGAGACAGCTAGTGATGAAAGTCTTCAGTCAACTGTTGGAGATGTTTTCGTGACTCAACTGACAAGTCTGGGAACCACGTAGAAGCGCTGATTTGGCAATGGTGTTGAAGTTAAATATTTTGGTTTGGATTACTTGACTTTCAATCAACAGGTGTGTGGTTTGAATCTTATCCCCGTCCACCAACCTCCATGTGGATGAACAAGTCAGTGATTTCATTAGGCCTTAAACAATGCATGTGGGTTTAACCAGGTACATATAAAATCTGTTCCGAGTAGATGAGTCCAAACTAACTAACTATCGTCAATAACAGTACTTAAGTATATCTACTATATTAGGATTATAAAAAATCTTTATGTTCGAGATGGTGGCAGTGCTCTAATGTCATATAATTAAGAGTCTTTTATCATCAGTTTTCAACAGAATTTAGAATTTCTCTAATTGTGCATAGATCGAGATAGTAACTATATATATATATATATATATATATATATATATATATATATATATATATTTAAACGTTTAAGCAGGAATCCATCCACCCGTAATCTTTTTAATCTTTATCAATAACAAATGGTTGTTGAATAAAGCTTAGTGTAGCTATCGATTTCAATACAACAATATTTATAATAAATTATTTACAAGTAGAACTCCTTTTATGACTTAGGCTCTGCACTTGTTAGCCCTCATCGGAAGGATCATAGTGCATCAGTTTTATTTATTCATAAACTGTCTTTGAAATATCAGTCTACGTAGTGTAGTTTATACTATTTATAAACTGATGTGAGTAGTTTACCAAGTAAGGTCACCAGAAAGATGATGAGAATTTCTATCATCACTAGGAAAGCCAATGAGAAAAATTAAGCTCAAGACGCAGAGGAAAATGCAATAATTGACAGACGCTGACGAACAAAACATGCTTGGTTAGTGGTTTCTATTTATACTATTAACTCCTTGTGTTCCGAGGGAAACACAAGGCCTTAGCAGTACATGCCCATTTATTTCGGTTTTCTATCTAGAGACTCATTTTCTCCTCCTCACATGATCTCTTCCATGTCACTGTTGAACGCCAAACTCACCTTTTTCATTTTGAGTTCCACTTGAGTTATATGAATGTCTTCATCGCCATTTTATTCTCCGTACTGGTAGAGCAATAGGCTTTTCATTGGTTCCATGATGCTTATTCTTTCTAGTCATGTGGTCTATAGTTTTGAGCCCACGTTGGTAGCCGTTAGTAAAAATCTATTGGAAATGCTTTTAGTGTCGCGCGCACCAGGTCTCTGAACTATAGAAAAACACTGACTTGACATTAGTAATGAAAATCCGGATCTTTTCTTATGTACTGAGGGCTGTTCATTTTTCTACACCGATTGCAGAGTAATGAAGGCCTTTCTTTTTCTACTCGATCCTACCTGGCTGATTTGAACACCCTCACTAGTGTTTCCTATAATTGGAATGATGCTGCTCAGGTCTGTTAAGTGAAACATGCAAGTTCTTTTAGATTTCCTCTATTGATAGCAATTGATGTTTATTACTTTATTTGGTTGGGGAACTTCATCATTCCTTGTTCTTCTTGGTGTCACTTAATTTCTTGTAGAGAAATTGAAATTAAGATAGAAAAACAACGAAAGCCTTGTAAACCGAATGTCCTGTATTTGGTCGCTGGTGGGTAGTTTCATCGATGTGTCCTGCTCAAGATTCTCAAACAAGAACGAAATAGCTATCCAGTACTTCCTAGTTGGCTTACAATGGTCCTCTGACTGAAGTTATTTCATGATCAGTCTTCAAGATAGACCATATTCCTGCAGACCAACGCTTAAAAAAGGGAATTATTTTGGCTAATTTTAAATTTCGGTTGTTTTTTGTTTGAGAAGGCCAAATGAGAAGAATAAACGTTCAACGGGTAGTAAATAATGTAAAATGAATTAATTTGTTGCCTCTTTCTTTGAACTGTCTTAAATCACTAACAACATTTATAATATGAAGGGCAAGTCAGTATACTTCTAACCTAATCATGTCATATTTTGTTTATTATATAGAGATGTGAAAAAGTGAAACAGTGCTTATGAAAGCCATTAATATCCTTAACAAACTTCTATATTTTGGAGAGACAACACAATACAGTGATAGAGAGAGAAGGAAGTAAAGAATCAAATCAACACGTATGGTTGATGATATAGTCATACATGAGACTATTAGCTCGGTAATCAACTAATCATCAAGTGGTCAAATGATGTAACTGCCCAACACCTAAGGTTTTCTTCTTATTAAATGAAAGGAATCATATGAAGACGGAAAGCCATACGTAAGTTATATTTCCTACATATAAGCATTCATCACGAAGATATATAGGTAAAGGCAACAAGTTGGCGGAAGAAGCAGAGGAGACACAGGTGGTGACGATATCCAACCACCCAACAAGCATCAGTCCCTATCAGCAGGAAAAATTCGAAGAGGGTCGTTACTTTCACTTATCTAGGCAGCATAATCTCGACTGCAGGGGATGGAACTGGTGAAGATGTCAAAGTTAGGGCTGGAAGAGCAAAACTGACATTTATTACTCCAGAATCAATGTTGAAGTCTACTGCACTAAGAATAAGGAACAAGATTTGGATTTCCAATACAAATGTCAAATCAGTCAGTGCTTCCATACGGTTCAAACACTTGATGTGCTACTAAAAGCATTTCCAACAGACTCCAGACATTTATCGACATTTTTTGCTCCACACCGAAGATTAAATGGCCAGAAATGACTAGCAACAAAGAACTGTGGAAGCAAACCAAATTAAGAACTTACTGTCCAACATGCCGAGGAAAGTCAAGTTGGATCGGACAGTCACTGATGAGACCGTTCAGTGTAACCTCGTACCAGTCAGACCCTAAAGTGGAGGCTGAACAGGAAACGATGACCTGGGCGTTGGTCCGAGGGTAATATGTTTAAGATCGTGTGAGGAGAGGACTACAGCTTAATGGCAATCAAAGATCCGGCCGAAAATAACGGCAGAAAACAGGATAAATTGGATATGTGGTACTAAAGCTCTATGTTCCACTAGAAACCTAAAGGAATAACAACACTGATAATAAATAAAAGTACTTTTAGATATTTAAGGACAAGTGTTCCTTCTCGAACTTTATTTAACTTATAATTCTATAACTCTGAGCCTATGTATTTCATCCTGTTTACTTCACTGACACTGTACATCTTATGTACAACATACATGTCTGAGCTGGACGCGACTTATCTGTGGAGCTTTCATTGTCCTTCTGGACAACATCGCTTCAGCGCAGACTTCAATATGAAGTGAACGTATTTTAATTCCCTCTCTATGTGAATGATATAATTGTGTCTCCTTATAACATTTGTTGTTACTGGTTATTAATTCACATTAGTACTGAATGTTTTTATTTATTGGAATTAAACTTTAATCTTGTCATGTGGCTTCATTAGTTGATTCGTCTGAGTATCGGAATTCTAAGAAATCTCTGACATTTCCACTGTTAAGCATTTCTAAATCTTCCCTGTCAAATTTGTATCCATAATTGTCAAAATGCATCGGCATAAAAGTGTACGTGTTGTGTCCTTTGACAGTTAGTTTATATCCTTAGAAATAATAGAGAAGATTTGTAGCTCAGGTGGATGATTTTGGTATGGTTGTGTTCTCTGAGCTGGATGGTTCATTGCTCTACTGAGCAACATCTTCAGCGCATACTTCGATGTGAAGTGAGCTTTTAGAATTCTCTATGAGTTTATTAGTCATCTCTTCTAGTGACCCTGAACGTGATTGGTTGTTTTCGTGTGACATTTCACCCCCTAGTTTGCTTGTCTCGGTGCTGACTGCTTCTTTGGTTTGAATGTCGTTAGTCATTCCTTCTGCTAACCTTGAACGTGATTGGTTGTTTTTGTGTGACTTCTCACTTTCTAGTTCACTTGTTTTGGTGTTGACTGTTTCCTTGACCTGAAGTTTGACTTTGTTTTTGTGTGAATTTCTTCGTATGGATTGGTATATTTTGTCAATCTCTATGTGTCTATTGATTGCTGATTCATTTGAATACCAGGCCTCTAGGAATTCTCTGGCATTTTTGCAGTTCCCTTTGTCTAAGATTTGAACATTGTCCCAGTCGAATTGGTGCCCGTGGTTGTCTGCATGTAGTGATATGAGGGAGTGTATGTCGTGTCTTTTGACAGCTAGTTTGTGTTCGTGAATGCGAAGACGAAGAGGGCGTCCACTTTGACCAATGTAATGTTTGTCGCAGTCGTTGCAACTTATCTTGTAGATGACGTTAGTTTTGTCTTCTTTTGCCGTTGAGTCCTTTGGTTTACATAGAACTGAGTGTAGTGACTTTGTTGGTTTATGAGCGGCATCGATTCCAAAAGGTTTGAATAGTCTTGCAGTGATTTCGGAGATATCTTTTATATATGGTAGGACGACTTTCTTTGTGTTTTCGCTGGTGGCCTTTGATTTGGTCGGTTGAGCTGGGGGTAGATGTCTTTTGATGAAGTTTCGTGGGTATCCATTTCTTTGGAAGACGTCCATAAGATGATTTTCTTCAATTTTCCTCAAGGCGGGAGTGCTGCAATGAGTCCTGGCTCTCTTGAACAATGTACGTATGCAGCTAATTTTGTGTGATGTTGGGTTGTTACTGTTGTAATTGAGTATTTGATCCGTGTGCGTTGGTTTTCTGTATACTTGGGTTTCTAATTTTCCTGTAGTTGTTCGTTTGATTAAGACGTCTAAAAATGGGATTTTGTTTTCATATTCTTCTTCTCCTGTGAATTTGATGTCGTTGAAGGTGTTGTTTATTATGTTGTGGGTATTGTCTAAGTTTTCTCTTTTGATTATCACGAATGTATCATCTATGTAGCGTATCCAAATTTTCGGTTTGATCTTTGGCAGAATTATGTTTTCCAGTCTTTGCATGACGGCTTCCGCAATCAATCCTGATATGGGTGATCCCATAGGTGTCCCTTGAATTTGTTCCAAAATCAAAAAACAACAGCCGAACAATACACCAATTGATTGCGTAGTCAATTTATCAAAACAGCCGCTGTCAAAAATGGAACAACAACTACTTCAAAAAGGATTAAACTACAACACTGAAGACGCCTCGAAAACAGACTTCTTCGCTGCTCTTGAATCAACACTCAAATCATCAAAATTAAGTGAAGAAACACAAGAAGAGATACGTCAAACAATAGTGCCTATAGTTAAACAAAGAAAACGACACACACAACTCAACTCACAAGAACAAAAAGCCCTCAAAAGACTGAAAAACAGGAAAGATATCGTTATAGTACCAGCTGACAAAGGAAGGACTACAGTAATCATGGACAAAGAAGAATACACTGCAAAAGCGGAAGAACTACTCAAAGATCAAACAATATACCAACAACTAACAACAAACCCCATCGAAACACTAAACAACCGCATCCAAAGAACCCTAAGCAAACTCACCAAAACGGGTCAGATCACAAAAGAAGATCAATGGCGAATGAAATCCAATGGACCCGTCATACCTCGATTCTACGGCAGACCAAAAATACACAAGCCAAATATACCTCTACGACCAATCGTATCACTCCCAGGAACCCCAACAAACAATTTATCCAAAGAACTATACAGAAGACTGAAACACTTGACGAAATCATGTGATCACTCCATCCAATCTGCGACCCAATATATATTGATGGGTCTAGTCCAAAGTGGTTCAGACTGAATTTAACCAAGTCAAGTCTACAATATGATCACTAAGATGCTAGGATAATCAACATTATTCTCCTACTGGAAGTCATTGACAGGTTCCAAATGACATATGGGATAATATATGTGATTATAACACTGACTGATGCGGGTTTCAATCCCCTCAAAGGGAAAATTTTCCTTTTGCTGTTGAGTGTCAGTAAGCGCGACACCAGTGTCAAATGCTTCCTGCCATTTACCGTCAGCTATATAATAAGAACTGAAAGTGAGTACAAACACACCAAAGCAATAAAAAGAAGTTAATTGTGTGAATACTGCTCAACTTACTTTTAAATCATAACCAATATAATTTGCTCTGCATATTTTAAAAAATACCGAGTATTGAATCATAGTTAAATTCGAGTGTTGTAAATGTGTACTGACCACAGCATAGCGCTTAAGTTTCTGAAAATAAGGTGTTCACATAATTAATTAAATTAACAATAGCGTTTTTATGAGTTGGCTAATAGGGATTCGATTTGTTTTAATTTTGACCATGGATTGATGTCAATCAAAGAACCACTGAGAACCAGAGAGTACTAGAAAGCTGCTTAATCATAGTCTGAGACTGTTCAGCAGTATGCACCCACAAATACTTGCCATTAACATTGGCTGGTGGCCGTGCTCAAAGACTGCGAGTTGACAGAGGTTAGAATTCATGGGCTACAGTATTCCGGACCAAGTGGCGGAATAGTCAACGAGCTCGCCTCGTAACCTGAAGGTCTTGTGTTGGATCCTCGGTTGGGTAATGGATGTGTACTGTTGATGAGTGACGCACTAGAACGAAACAAGTGTCCAGTGCTCTTGGGTTTTCAGCAGTTCTCTAAATGGTATTAATTCCTTATTAGACTTGATGAAAAAGTGTTACCTTTCCGAATTACGCGAAAAATTACAAGTGAAACAAAGAAATAAAGTAGGCTAGAGATTTGTAACTCAGGTTAAAGTCCTATTATTTTGGTTTCATGAAGTTTAGCTGTAAAGAGATGCTGTCAGGAAGGACAAGTGGAAGCTTTGCAATTTTTCTGTCATCCAGTTTACAGAATACAATGAAACCAAAACGATCAGTTTTTTCAATGCATAAAGGACAAAGAATAATCTCTTCGATAACTTCAGGTTCTAAAGTTTAAATGTCCATCATAATTAGAAAATTACTGATATAATTAGAAAACTTGAGCACTGTGGTAGAGTATAACTCCATTATAGATAAGATTTTAATTTGGTAAATCACACAGTGACTATGAGCAGTAAATTGTGCTCGAAACGTCATCAGTAAACATTACTGTATAACACTGTGAGGCTTTATCAAAATAAAATTTTATCCGAAATAGAATTATACTCTACCACAGTGCACAAGTTTTATTCTTATATCAGGAGGATATCAGTATATGAAGGTAGTTATATACCTATAAAGTCACAAGGAAATTCTGGGAGAGAAACCAAGAATTTACATATCATCACATTATGTTATCTGCTAGAAACCATGAATGATAATCTTGAAAACAGGTGAAATGGCCTGATGATATGAATAGTTAAAAATCAATTATCTAAACAGGTAGCGCGGATGGACTTGGATCTAGATGAGCGAAGTGGCGTTTTGGTAATTATATAACATTATAATGGTAAGGAGCAAGGAGCCCTACTGGTTGACGTGACTGGTTTTCAACTATCCATGAAGATCTATAATAATGTGCTTGTCAATTGCTAATTCACTTGAGTACCGGGCTTCAAAGAATTCCCTGACTGCGTTTTTCGTGATTCCTCTGTTTAAAATTTCTACATTATCCCAATCAAGTTGGTGTCCATAATAATCCACATGCATTGATACTACAGAATATATATAGCATATCTTTTTACAGCTTATTTGTGTTCTTAGATTCGGATTCGAAGGCGACGCCCACTTCTTATTTTGTAAACAGTATTAATTTTATCTCCTTCTCCTGTTGGATATTTTGGTTTGCATGATATCGAATGAATTGATGGTACTGATTGGCTTGTGTGCTCTATCTATTTCAAATCGGCTAAATATTCTAGCTGTTATTTCAGAGATATTTCTATATGTGGTAGAATGAATTTCCTTGTAGTCTCTGATGTTGGTGTTATGACTCGAGTTTAAACACTTTTCGATGAAATTGTGAGCATATGCATTCTTTTTGATGACGGTTAGTAAGTATTTTTCTTCCATTCTCTTCAACACTGGAGTAGTGCCACAGTGTGTGTTTGAACTCTTCTAAAACATGTCCACACACAGCTTCTTTTGTGAGTAATCGGGTTATTACTTATTATAGTTGAGTATTTGATCTGTGTGTGTGCATTGATTTTCTATATACTTGTGTTGCTAAATTTCCTGTGTTAGTTCTCTCGATCAAGACGTCTAAGAATGGAATTTTGCTGTTTAATTCCTCTTTTCTTGTCAATTTAATGTCCTCAAATATGTTGGTTAATAATGTGTGGGTGTATTCCAAATCACTTCTTCCAATTATTACAAGTGTATCATCAACACGACATACTCAGATTTTTGGTTTAATTAAAGGTAGAACTATTAATTCTAATCCTTGCATAACGGCTTCGGCTATTAATCCTGATATGGGCGGTGATCCCATTGGTAGTCCTTTCATCTGTTCGTATATTTGATTATTAAATTGGAAGTATGCTGTAAGACATTTTGATTTTCTCTAAATATTAGATTGGTTAATTGATAGAATGGTTGAGTGATTCTGTGAGGTATTTTAATTTTCTGAAAAGTTCATCAGATAGATTATATGATGTTGTTCCTGGTAGCGAAACGATTGAACTTAAGGGAATGTTTGGTTTATGTAGTTTCGGTCTTCCATAAAATTGAGGTAAAATAGGTCCGTTAGGTTTCATTCGCAATGGATCTCGTTTTGTGATTTGTCCTGATTTTATTTTTTTGATTTTGTCATCTAATGCTTGCACAAGGTTTTTCATCAAATGTTGGTATACATTATTATCTTTGAGTATATCTCATCTGCTTCTTTATACAGTCTTCTGTGTTCAAATAACTCCTATTATTCAAATTTTAGGCAGCTGAAAAAGATACCAATAGAATAAGCAATGGGTCTCCGGACTTATCTTCTTTCTGCTTCCATGTTCTGTCCTTACTGTCACTTGAATGAATAATATATTTGTTTTCATTCTTTGCATTCCAAGTGTGCAATATAGAGCTTCAAGCTTCAACTTCTAATTTTCAGTAACATTGGAATTGTTTTTGCGGGATGTGGTTTCTATTCTCACCTAGCTTAAGCTCTTCTCTTTCCTCAATTTACTACCGGCTAGTAAGCTGAACCTGATTTATGAGTGTGTCGGCCGAAAATCGAAGCCGAACGACATGCGCGGCTGACCATCTGGCCAGATCTGCTCTTGCCGGTCCCAGTCGTAATGAATTTGGTGGAAAAGTAGTAAGTTATCGACTGATAGTTAGATAATCTAGAATAGTGTAGGGTTACCAGACTGCAATTTATATGGTGATGGGCGAAGATCAAAGATCTGGAAAGAAATCACTCTTGTAGGGTAATTCGTACAACAGACTTCAAACACAGTAACCCAGTGTTCTACCAGCCTAGCTTGAGTACCCAGCTGTTGACAGGGTTGCACAGTTCAATTTCAGTTATCATCCATTAAATCAGTAGTAGTGTCCCAATACAAGGCTATTTCAGATAGTCTTACTTTCATTTAAGAACCCATTTGCTTCACTGCGTCTTAGTTAGTACAATTAACATTGATAGTAGAATACCTAGCTGGACAGTTGGTGTGACAATATTTTATGGACAGTCACGTTTCAGTCATTCACACGACCGCTGATTACAGCAGAATGACCACTTGGTTAGCAGTCGGGTCTTACAGCTCAGATCGTAGAGTTATGGAAGGATAATTAGGAGGCTAGTGCTTCTATTTCCGCCGCTACCTAGGTCTTCATTTCACATTCACTTCATTACCCATTATAATACATCAACAGCTGCATGTCAGCTGAGGACTATTTCACACTGTCTTAATAATCATTCAATGGTCACTTGAGTTAAGAAAAAACATAATCTTTGATTCGCTTGAGGTTTATTATAATAAAATTATATGATAGGAAAAGAAACACTGTTTTTCGCTAATTTCTCCTCAGTTTTGTGGTAAAAGCCGAAGATTATGTATATTTATAGCTTATTGAAAGGTTCAGTTTGTATGAATTGAAGTGAAACAGAAAGAGTATTAGAGTTCTGTGACCACAGAGGTTAAGAGATGATTGTTCAATGGGGCCAGTTACACAGAAACAATTTACAGAGTGGTGTTTCTAAGATTACCTTACCACCGGCTACGGGTAGTCGCATGGGATCACCTTTTCTAAAACCACCTTTATTAGAGCGGAGAAGCAGAGTAGTGTAGATGACTTATACTATGATAGTGAATGCTTTGAGTCTAACACCTATTCCGATGGCCTTTCTGACATGGTAAGACACACATTAATATTCACCCCAGCTAGTGTACCTGGGTTAATAAGCTAGTCAGATCCAACAACCATGTGGAAGTAACAGCTATCGGTGAGGTCCAGTTTATACATATATAAATATCTAAGACAGACATAATTCTCGAAATATGGTAGCGTCGTAGATATTGTGGCTCATCACTGGGTTAAGCGATTGACTTTTATTCAATATGTTTGAATCGCGTTTCATCTATATAGGTTTCAATAAATTGAGTATTATCATCAGTCTTAATATATTAAGTATGGCTTATAGCTTAGTAATATGAGAAATCTGTTTCCGATAACTGAGGTCTAACTAATTAAAGTCTCTAATAGGTGATATTACGTTCGACAGAAAAATCTACACTTTTAGCATAAGCTAAGTTCTTGACTATTATCTGGACTGTTGATTCAATGATCTGCCAACTCAAATATCAAGTCCCTATTTCCAAATTAATTAAACCGGTTGATTTCATGTTCAATTCCCCCGTCACAACAGGTGTGGCTCAAAGCCTGGCACAGGAAAAATCTCTTGTCCGTAATTGAGTTCCGATTAGCTATCTGACGTTTGTTTACTTATTTTAGATACTATCATGATATGACTGAATGTGATGGGGGTGGGGTGGAGGTTGAAGTCAAACTGCGGGATGAATCTACTGATATTTTGTCTGAATCATGTGTGCGAATATGGATATTAATCGCCAATAGTTAGACACGTTTGGTGAAATCATCTTAAATCAATCATACTGTCTAATACGGAATCTGTTTTCACTATTTACTCCGACAGTTAAGAGTATGTGAGATAAAAGTCTCAGTAGGAACACTTTCTGTCAGCAGAGAACAGTTGCATACATCTGATGAATAGCAAACAGGACGAAAAGTGCATCCTGAATTCCAGTGATAGCTACTATCAATCAGATGACATCAAGTCAACCATAAAGCATAGTCAAAGCGTGATCACCACGAGTCATAATGTTTTCTGAGGCCAACCATTTAAATCTTATTACTTTTTAAAAAATTTTTTTAATTTTATTTTTTTTTTATTACAGCTTGATTCCATACCGTAGTTTTTGGTACAAGTATGGAATTTTCAGCATGGATATCGTTAGCCCAAATTTACAGGCCGACCATAGATATCGGATGTGCGCCGGCAGGGGATTGAACCACGGACCATGTGCATGGTCGGCGAGAGTCCTAACCACTGTGCCACCGACGCACATTGTCTAGATGTACTATGAAAGCTTCGCTATTAAACCATCTGACTCAGAGAACAAAAGCACACCGAAAACACCCACCGGTTGTATAAATCTTCAGTGTATACGATTATCAACATTATCCAGTTCATGATACTGAGGAAACATCATTGGATGGATACATTCCTCTTGAAACGTTTTGTGTGTACATTTCTTGAATGGTCATAAATGGTCTTTTAAAATCTCTGTCATGCCTGCTTTCTGAGCACATCTCTTTTCATTCCTTCGCTCTTCAAATGGAAAACAGGTCTTTCAGCTTTGAGCTTTGAAGCTTCAGTGGAGCCTGTGTTGCTTTTTTACGGATTTGGTTCACTAACCTCACATAACGCAACCTTCCCTCTTTTCCGGCCTGCTATCGGCTAGCCAAGGTTTATTAGGGTGTCGGTCAAGAATCTAACCCAGATTATGTGAGTGACTGGTGGGTACTATACCTCCGACCCACCGGCGGACATAACAGTTTTATCGTCCTAAGCTGTGACTCTCCGGAAGTACGCATCCATCACTTCGCTGGTGATTGGACCCAAGACCTTTAGGCCACGATGCGAAGTCGTCGATCATCCACATTACGATAAGGATTGTGTAGAAGCTTTGTGATTCAGTAAATCTTTAATTTCTTCACTTTGTTAAAAGTCTACTTACCTTTCTTTCTAATTGACTGTCTTGTTCAGATAATTTTGATAATTCATGTATTTGTGAGCTACTGCTTTTCATCACTGATGTTGTTGGCGGTTTAGCTATAATCTGGTGTTCACCATTTGTCAGTGTGGCTATTTCAAATGTTGTATTTGTAGAGAACAAGACAAGCTGAGTCATAGCTAAAAGGTCTGTATAGCCCGGTTTAATTCCAGTTATCCATAAAATTTGTTCATTCTAAAATTAATAAAACAAAATTGGATTGAAAAGATGGTTTGTGAAATAAGTAAGGTGCAATCGATGTGAATGAATCAGACTATATGAATTTAGGGAAAGAGTCAGTAAGAGAGCAACAGCGATTGCTGTTATCGTGAATTCGTTGGTCACACGAACCAGCAGGTGAGTGGTGAACGGATGTTGTCTATACAAGCAATAAAAGCTTTGCGATTAAACTGATTAGATCAGAGAACAAAAAGCATTAAGCCTAAACCAGTACACTGTATAGATGTCAACGTGATTCGACTCAGATGAATTCTATAGTAGTATGAGTAGAGTAAACTCTGTTGATACTATGTAACTGCATAAACGTAGCAGATAGGGCTGGGTTCAAACCTGTGAACCAATAGTTGAAAAGAAACTGATTTGTGTTATTTAACTGGAAACAATGATGTTAGAGGTAACAAAATAAAGACCCGCTCCACCTTATTCAACTTCACTGAGAAAACAGATAGCATTACCAGCCGTCAGTTAACAAGTGCAGATTATGTCGCGCACATACACTTTTCCCTACTACAATCGATAATTTACCCCAATAAAATCCCAATACAACTCATACGCCAACGATTAGTCAATGAGTTCGCATATCCCACTAGACCTATAAGTATTCCGTGTAAAAGAAAACTTCTATTTCTCTGTTGAAAACATTTCGATAACCACCAACTAACTATTATTTGTAAATCTACAGAAAACAAAAATGGAATAAGCGAATTATAAGTTCTGCTAGTCATAATTATAATTTCAAAACATGATTGCTGAATGAAATGCTTGACTTCCAGCTGACAAGTTTTAAATAGGTCAACCTTCACATCATGGATTCCATTGCTGATCACTAATCAACCAAAATAACATGATATCTGTAACGATGCATGCAAGCTTCGGGTCTCGGCAGGAAAATGATCGCTCACTGGGAATGCATGTACACCCAGATGATGAGTCCGAAGTAGAACGGAGTGTACATCCTGGATTCCACTTCACGTCACCGTGACCAAAAATATGTAAAATTGAGTAAAGGTCAAACCAGTCTTCATTATTTCAGTGAGGAAAATCTGTACTTTTTCATGTCTTACATCAACCAAAATAAACTTAAACACCACTGAATTTTTATTTATCTTTCAATATGGCACCAATTTTAATTCGGTTTGTCGTTTTCTGAATAAAATTTGCAAATGATTAGTCAATGAGCGAATCGCAATTTACACCGTCCAAAGTGAAATTTTACCACAGCTTCTTTTGGAAACCGAAATTATTCGGACACCAATGTGTTTTCTACCTGATACCATGAATAGTAATCAAGAATTCGGCTGGTCTGAGCTGATTCAGTCAGTCAGTCAGCGTACACCAGTGACCAGCTCAGTCTCAAACGAGTGATAAGGACATCTAGTGTTTAAATCATTTCAATATGGCTAGCGAGTGAAAATACTGGTTGATGTGAGCTCTAAATAATGACTTACTTTTTCCGGATGTATAAATGTTACAAAATCAATGTTCACATGACCAACAACTCCTTTCTTAGCCATTAGTGAACCTAATTCCATACATAGATAATTTATCCATCGAGGAGTTACTGATGTCATAGGTACTGTAGATTAAGAGTTAAACAACAAGAAGTTAGTAATTACCTTAGGACATCGGATACTAGCAAATCAGTAAATAGTATGAAACTGAAAGATGAATTTATGAGCATTCTTAAATAAAAGTGGAGTTATACATTTTAGTAATTTGAATATCCCCATAATTTATTAAGAACAAGAAAAACTAAACAGGGCAGCTACTGTTCTCGATGAATTCTTCTAATTCAGGCTCTACAGTTATAAATCCACAAACTGTAGTATGAAAAACAGCTCCAGTAAAGACGAGTAGGAATTCTGTATCAGAAAGTGTACCGTGTGTGTTACAAGGGTACAAGACAGAATGCCAATGATCACTCTTAACGATCATTAGAAATGATGTATGATGAGTAAGAATGTCTTTTATCAGTATCTGAAGCGGTAGCAAGACATGATCTGTTTCCAGAAGAAGCTTATCCAACTGCTTTGTTTACTTTGGCTTGCAACAAGGTCAATAAATCCTCTATTGGTAGCAAACTAACTAAATCCACATCACATGTTTTCCGCTTTTGTTTCATTGACAAACGTTTATTTTAGGCGTTTTTGACTTCATGACCTTTCTTATTATGCCTGTTGCCCTAAGTTTACTTGGTGATTTTCAAATTTGTTATCGTATTTACACAAAACTTTTTATTCCAGTTTACCGAAATCTTTTATTAACTAGTGATCTTTTGCTAGTAGTATTTCTGTATTAACACCACACCATCGTTATTATTATTTGTCATTCTTGAACTTGAATGTCTAATCTGCCCCATTTGGTGGTTTTTCTTTATAGTATTCGACAATCATACCCTTGACACTTGTACTTTTTGTTGACACACATCGTTTAATTACTTCATATGATTTTATCTCATATTCTTACTGATCATGCATAACTGACTATTAATATTCCATCTCGTACTTGTCCAACAATACACTTTCCGATATATATAATTCTAATTGGCCTTGAATGACAGTGTGGATGCTAAAATTAATGGATTTATAATTGTAAAGCCTGAAGGAGGAGAATTTATTGAAAACAGCTGCTACCCCTAATTATTTTTGTTCCGAACAATAGATATATATATATTACTCAACAATTACACATATTATAATGTTACTTGTCATAGGTATTGATGCACCTCCATTAAACTCCGAACCATAGGAAGTAATCACGGTGGACGGCTTAAATTACTGCTTTACTTAAATTTTCTGTCCATCAAATTGAGTCGATTTTACTCCATTTTAAATTGTTCTAATCATCTTATTACCGGGCTGTGTCGTAATCTATGCTAACGCACAATCTCAATACAATTTTCTACCTACCGCTAGGAATTTTTCAAAAAGCAAATTGAGGAAGAACATTGTGGAGTAACAATAAAACATACTTCGGATGGATTATTATACTATTTGAAGATTCTATATAAGGGATAAATATGTTGCAATGGAACTCGCTGAAAATTCTGTGTTGTGTGAATAAACGCATTATTCAGAATAAAGCTATTATTATGAATAATAATTATTGCCTAGGTAGATGAGTCAACCTTAATGAGTTGATGGTTGAAAATACCTGTAGACTATATAAGGGTACTTTAATCGCACAGTAGCTTGTACATTGCAAGTACTTCTCTGAAGGCTGTAAGTTTCTGACTAATGCTGCAACAGATAACATTGGGGAACTTTTATCTGCACGATTTTCATTTTTATCTTTCATCAACTTCGAGTACTATGTCATAATGCCAAGTTCTGTTCTGATAGTAGCTGACTAACTTTTTATATAGACAAAGGAATGCTGCAATTGATTGATATAAGAATACCCAAACGAAACTCTAGTTGCAGATAACGATGAATAGGAATTAAAAGAGGGAGACATGCATCAACAGAGTTAGCTATAAAAAACAATCAAAGCAGAACAGAAACAGTCCATTCCAGTAAGTCATCGATCCAAATGGCTAATGAGGTGAGTCAAACGAATTCTGAACTTTCAACTGCACGTTTTCACGGATTCTATTGGCTTCAGGTTACATATGAATTAGAAAATCATCAAAAATCGAGAAGAACTTACAAGACAGTTGTTCTGTCGCCTTCAGTAGGACTCACCATGACTCCACCATATCAAGGATGGAATCCACTACCTTCATATCATTAGGTGAGGTCACTGACAGTTTGACCACTAAAACCAATGGCTCATGAATTCTGCTGCTGAAAATTTCCAAGCTAGAACAAAACAGTCGTTCAGAATTCCCTGGTTATCAATGGGTTCTCCAACTGATATCAATCCATGACTCAGTTTGAACCTGTATTTCGTGGATCAGTGGTGCTAGAATACTTAGGAGATAACTTTTGGAGAATCAATTTAGTTTACCAACAAACACCTTTTTGAGTTCAAGTTCAACCACCAATGAGTATAATTTAAAGACTTTCTCATGTTTACACTATTTCATCTGATTATCGGGCCCTACTCTCTTGACTAATTGTTTCCAGCTACTTATAATAGTCAGTAGTTTATGTCTTGTTGATTAAAAACCATTCTGGAGGCACTAGTATACGAGCTTAAGGTTATCATGCACATTTTTATTGGACTATTCCAAGTAAAACTTGTTTCACTTTTTTGCCATTTAGACATTTTTCAACTCCAGTATGTTCAAGAATCACCTAGTCAGTCTTGAGAAATGACATACACTACATTTTTAGGTGACTTTAGTAGACTATCACACCCACATCTCTTTATGGTAAAACATTGTAAGTGATGTACGATTTGTGTTATAGTGTTGTTTCAGAAGAGAAAGACTATCTTACTTGTTTCACCCCATGTACAAAATTTATCTTCAGTATGCAGGTGGTCACCACTGGCCACTATACGAACAGTTTTATTCGGTAGAATTGCAATTACTACAGAAAGATTAGTCCATTCATCTGTCGGTGGGCAGGCTTCAATTACACCGCCTATTCAGTTTGAAGAAAATACGAAAAACAAACAAACGGAAGAGAGAAACAATGATTATCAAAAATACAAAAAAGTATTCCAACCGACCATCACAGTGCACACGGAAATACATCAAGCTAAATAATTCTATGTGTTTTGATAGTTTAATAAGTAGAATGTTAGTCAAACATGAATGTGTTCTGGCTTTGATTCCCGACCGATGCACTCCTAAATCTAGCTTCGTTTACAAGCTGGTAGTAGCCTCAGAGAAGAGAGAGGGTTAGGTGTGAATTCAGGAACTTCACTCCATAAAAATAAAACCACCGATATTGAAGCTTCAAAGTTTAATGCTTAGAGACCTAGGTTTCACACCCGGAACGCAAGGAATATGAATGATTGCCAACAAGAACTGAAGTTATACGTAGCGAGATTTATACGCAGGAAAAAATGCCGAAACCATCAAAATCAAAATAACATTTGTTTCTGCTTCTCGGAAACAGGTCAAGGATAGTATTTACCGCATAACACAGCTAACCAATGGAACTGTTAACTTTCGAAGAATATAGGTCGAAGTGTTACATTGAAAGCCAGTCAGTCAGTGACTTACTCAGATTGTATACATTGACTGGTCATCAGTGGGTTAGTATTGTCATATTTTTCAGCCCTTAGTGATAGCGCTGACTGAATTCTACAAGTTAGTAAACTCGGACACCTATTATGAACTTTGAATATATGTTAGGTGACTGAAGGAAATCTGTAGGAAGCCCTTGACCTAGTCTTCTTGTGCGCTGGCACTCATCAGCATACGCACCAAGATGCATCTTAAAGAAATTCATGTTCTCACAGAGATTCAAAACCACATTAACCATTGTAAACTTACAGGAGGTTAATTACTGGAAAAAAAATGGACATAATCTCTGAGAGGATAGAAGTTTTAGATATGCGAAATCTAGATTCATAGCCGATTGTCTCCAAGGCTCTAACATCAACCCCATCCGGATGTATATATTATACTACACTTCAGAAAGATATTTTTGGTGAAGACAGTAAGTTAATGGTATTCAATTCGAGTACTTCCATTCCCTCTTCCTCTGCCCACACACACATACCGGTGTTAAGGTGACAAATTTTAACAGAAAGAATATGTAAGACTTTGTGTATAAGAAAAGAAAATAGTATAAACTTACCACTTTTTAGAAAAGATTGTATAAAACTAACAGAATCTGTATAAAAATCATTCGGAAATAACTTTAAGTGTTTTTGAAGTAATTGTGGTACCTCAGAAAGTATTTTCATATAAGTTGTCTCCTAAAATTAAACACAAAGTGAATATATATAAAAGTTAATCTTACAACACGTGTAGTGGTAACCAGTTTCATATTTCATAAATACTTGCGTTTAACTCAAATTTAATTTTTAATTTGTTGGCTCATAGTTTAAATTTAACAACACGAGTTGATAACCGACTGATACTATAATATATTAATCTACAAACATTACATATTATAATTAAATCCATTCACAATCAGCTTCAATGTGATAATAAAAAATAGTGTTGTATGTTTTGACTTCAAAATGAAGTATGCTCTGAGGATGTTGTCTAGTAAGGTGACAAAAGCTTCGCAAGAAAACAATCCTGCCGTGAGAACACAACTACACTAAAGTCATTCACCTGAGCTACAAATCTTCTCCATTATATCCGACTGCATATACCAGTTTAGATGTATGCGGCAAAGCCCATACATGGGATGAACAGACAGAAGGATTTGTGACCGGATACGTGATCGAATTCCAAGAAACTAGCGTCTGAAAGTACCAGAAGTGCCTGCTGGTGGGACTGCTCTCTACCTGTTAGACAGCTGTTATGAAATTGATGCATTAAAATTCTTTTCAGATAAATGAAGTTGCAGGCAGCTCCAGGCTGTTACATACTACTGAAGCGATTGTCACTTAACGACTAAAACCAGAAGGAAATCGTTGTTAAATCCTACTTTAACTTGGTTACATGATTTATTCGATTATTCCTTCTTTATTAACTTTGTTTATTTTTATTTTACTTTAACAATGCGATATCCTACCCTTAACTTTGTTTTTAACTATATTCTTCACACAAATTAGTTTAGCCTGTCTTCAGCTAGATTATGTAACTCTTATATGATCGCATTGTGAATCGCACGCCTCTTTTCAATTTGTAGCATTCGTCCGTAATTCCAAAATGTTTCTCAATTCCTTCTATACATATAACGCACTTAAAAACGATTCTAATTCCTTCCCATTGTGTTACTGAATCACATGGTATTACATCCATAACCTTGATGATCAATAATGGCAGAATTTGAATGTTTGTGTTACGATATTAAATTGTTCATGGTTGTATGGAGCCTTAGCGGAAGGAGAGTGGTTGAGAAGTCTCTTATTAGGAGTATAAATAAATACTCCAAAGCATATTTGCAGGATTGACTGGTATTAGTCACAATTTCTAAGATAACGATAATGATGACATGGTAACAAGAACCAAAACAAAGTTAACTACGTTGACTGAACACACAAATATCATGCGTATAGTCCTTTATTTGGTGCTTCCTACCAATCGCCTCCAGTCATCTAACCAGAAAATGAACTACACAGGTAAATGGATTCCCGTTAACTGTCTACAGATGACTTCCGTATAGTGACTCACTGATACAGCATTCAGCGCACAGGGTTATGTACCTGAATATTCCTTAGTTCAACTTCAGAGTTAACTCTCACATTGATCAAAAGCATTCTGTGGTTCTTCATGATGTCAAAAACTATGCATTGATGTATTTCTGTCAGGTAATACGAAAAATGGTTCACAAAGATGCATTGAATTGCTCTACTGTGAACTGATGCAATTCCACTGGATAACACAAGAAAAGAAAAGAAAATTCTCTAAAGTATATTCAACATATGGCACTAGACAACATCTTCAGCGCAGGTTTTAGTATAAAATGAACTGATTTGAACTCTCCATGAATGATATCATTTTGTCCACATGCAACCGCAGTCGCGATTGGTTGTCAATTTAAGTATCTACTGGTCATTTTTATTAACTTCGAATTCGAACTTTCTTGTCATGTGATTTACTTCTTATCAGTTGGTAAATTCGGTCTATAATAATGTGCTTGTCAATTGCTAATTCACTTGAGTACCAGGCTTCAAAGAATTCCCTGACTGCAGTTTTCGTGATGCCTCTATTTAGAATTTCTACATTATCCCAATCAAGTTGGTGTCCATAATAATCCACATGCATTGATACTACAGAATATATATAGCATATCCTTTTATAGCTTATTTGTGTTCTTAGATTCGGATTCGAAGGCGACGCCCACTTCTTATTTTTTTGTAAACAGTATTAATTTTATCTTCTTCTCCTGTTGGATATTTTGGTTTGCATGATATCGAATGAATTGATGGTACTGACTGGCTTGTGTGCTCTATCTATTTCAAATTGGCCAAATATTCTAGCTGTTATTTCAGAGATATTTCTATATGTGGTAGAATGAATTTCCTTGTAGTCTCTGATGTTGGTGTTATGACTCGAGTTTAAACACTTTTCGATGAAATTGTGAGCATATGCATTCTTTTTGATGACGGTTAGTAGGTATTTTTCCTCCATTCTCTTCAACACTGGAGTAGTGCTACAGTGTGTGTTTGAACTCTTCTAAAACATGTCCACACACAGCTTCTTTTGTGAGTAATCGGGTTATTACTTATTATAGTTGAGTATTTGATCTGTGTGTGTGCATTGATTTTCTATATACTTGTGTTGCTAAATTTCCTGTGTTAGTTCTCTCGATCAAGACGTCTAAGAATGGAATTTTGCTGTTTAATTCCTCTTCTCTTGTGAATTTAATGTCCTCAAATATGTTGGTTAATAATGTGTGGGTGTATTCCAAATCACTTCTTTTAATTATCACAAGTGTATCATCAACACGACATACTCAGATTTTTGGTTTAATTAAAGGTAGAACTATTAATTCTAATCCTTGCATAACGGCTCCAGCTATTAATCCTGATATGGGCGGTGATCCCATTGGTGGTCCTTTCATCTGTTCGTATATTTGATTATTAAATTGGAAGTATGCTGTAAGACATTTTGATTTTCTCTAAATATTAGATTGGTTAATTGATAGAATGGTTGAGTGATTCTGTGAGGTATTTTAATTTTCTGAAAAGTTCATCAGATAGATTATATTTTGGTGTTCCCTAACAGGGAAACGAGAATACCACTAAATCAATATCATCCACCCTAGCTACAAATCTTCTCCATTTCTTTAAAATATGAACAAAGTGTTACGGGACTATTCATTTATCACTATCCAATAACTAATTAGTAAGATCTATACATCTCGACTTCAAATGAATTATTACTTGGTTTACGAAAAATAATGGTAATAGGAAAAATCTTTCGTTTGACTTATTACATAAGGAATTTGAGACTTTTTGGCATGACCCAACCACTTCTCTTGCACTTGATTAATTCATATGCATTTTATATATTCTTCTTGATTGTTTACCTTATTCATCTTTGGGTCTTCTCAAAAACGGCCGTTATATTACTTAGGACATTGAAGGCTGTAAACAGGTTTAGTGGTGTGCCTTTGACTCAACGAACTGATACTGTTTTTTTCGTATGCGGTCGGATGCTGAACATCCTCTTTATTCGCAACTTTCTGTGTATATCTCTTTGGGGTAAAATCAGAAGAAATTTCATAAGAATTTATGCTCGTTAAGCTGAAAATAAAAACTCGACCATATCACATTGAGCGCAGGTGGTTGTGTCAGGCGACAAATGTCAGAAAAGAGCTTAGAAACCTACTTCATAATTTGTAAATAAACAGCAACTTATACTAAGCATTATTATTACATATATTCTTGTATTAACCTTTAGTTTTACAGTTATATTACTTTTACCATATTGGTTATTTTTAAAAGGAGATAAATGCTAAGAGTTCCATCCTCAAAAATGGGACTATTATTATCATTGTTTAACATTAAAACTTTTCGCACCTACTTGTGCCCATTTTTTCGTCCATCTTATCGGTCCATGCCATTGACGTTGTTCTAATGCCCATTTAAACGATTGTAAATTTTCAATTGATAAAAATGCAACACCATGTCCGCCTACATTATTATCAATTTTTAATAGCCAATTTTTGATTGGTAAATTCTCTGTAAACAATGCAGCCAATGTTTCACACAGCTTTTAAAAGAATAAATTCAGGAAATAATTAAATGCACTATTATTATTATCATTATTCTTTTGAAACTAATCAAATCACTGCAAACCAACATTTAAAAATCAACCTAATACTGACGAGTGACTGACCACAGGATGATGTGGCCTGAAATTCTAATCAGAAGTCGTGACTAACAGAGCCCACCAAGTTGCGTGTGAAGACAAATACTCGCCGATGACATTGGCTGGCATTCACGCTATATATAGCGAACTGATAGCAGTTACAATTCATGTGTAATTGATTCCTATACTAAGTGACTGAATGGCTAACCTAAAAGCCCTAGAACCGACCCCTGGTGGAATCGCATCTGAGTAATGCCGAAGAGTCTAACGCTAGGATGAAATAACTATCCAGTGATTCTTGGTGTTAGTTATTCCGTAACTGGTTTTTGGTTCGTTATGTGATCTTCATTTAAAGTAAATAAAATTATTCTTAAAGGATAATATTAAATACTGAAAGCAAGTATCACGGCATAATTGGTTGTGTGTATTCGCATAACAGCATAATTTAAGACATGTTATTATTAAAAAATCTAGTAAGAACTTCTGTGCATCACATTATTTCTAGTGTGCGCTGCCTCCTGATAAGTACCCATTGAAACAGTCCTGTAGCGATATTATTAAGGAGCAACAGTTGACGTTTAGATAATTGTTACTATACATTTAAAATTTTAACAGAGAGAACTAATCAGTTTATAAACTAGTTTAGCTAATTCCCCAGGAGCAACTAAGTAGTGTCACTTGGTCCAACATGTATATATGTATATATATGAGACTAATGCTAGAATCGTAGACCATCTGTCAATCCTTACTTCTTTGTGTGTTTACTTTTAATGCATCAATTAATAAAGCAAACACGTTAAGCAGAAACCTTTAGATGTTCGGTGTGCGATTCGCTTCCGTCAAATATGAAATGATGTTGCGGGATTTGATTACACTGACTCCTGGCAATATAATAGGGATTGAAGTGGTAGTGCGTGTGGACCACTTAACTTATTTCTGAAGCCCTAATGAACCGGTGAAAAAGGCTGGTGTGGCATTCAGAAAATTACGTCGTCTGTGGCATAGACAAGATATCCGGTCACCAATCAAAGAGCGGGTGTACTGCTCTCCTTTTCTTTAATAGCTGCGAAATATGATCAGTGAAAGTGGAAGATATACAAATTTTGGTTGTATTTGACCACAGGTGTTTATTTTTTATCTCATGTGTTAATTAGCAATAATATGGTGAGCATCATTGAGTGTAGAGTGTTAGGTAGTATGGACAAGTCAATCGGTGAGGTTGTGAAACTACGTCGATTGAGATACTTAGGACACATATAACGCCTTCCGAGCATCCTCGAGGAGCAGTATTAGCTTAAATAGGGTTGGGTCTGAAAAAAGTTAGGAATGTTAAAACCAAAACCTGGCATCAGACTATAAACACTTTGACAGTTATTTTGAATCACTTAGTGAGGTGTAAACTGTCTGGTTATAGTCTTCGAGATACTAAGAACCAACGGCTGAAGACTGCTGTTCACATAACTCAAAATCATTCTCAGTGACACAGAAGCATTCACTCTTCTTGATCTCATATACCCATCAAAACTTCGTGCTTTCCATGTCATTATTCTTTCTCCTAGTTATTTCATGCAATATTACAGTTGTAAGCATGATAATAATTTAATCGCAATACACAGACAAACCATTATAGTACTTGTTTAAAGACGCCCATTAAAAATTTCAAAAAACTGAGGTTATTGTAAGAAGAGTATTCTTTTCGATAACTTCTGCTTCATCAAGTTCTACAGTTTTGTGAATCCATAATAAAGTATTATGGCTATTAACAACACTAATGTTTTTAAATAACACTGAATCAATAATGCTCATAAACTACAGTTCAATAGCTATTGTAAGTGATGACATTCACCAATATAACACTGAAATGAATATTAGGCTAGGCTAGCGATAGGGACTGGATGTGTCTGTCTCTTTTGCACTCACAGCTCCAGTTATTTTAAGCGAATTTTAATTGACTATGCTGTTAGCAACATTACGTTTCTGGCAATTTATTTAGCACCCAATAGATGGTAGAAAAAGATTCTCCAGTACTAGTCTTACAGCTTGTTTGAGCCAAGTGTACCGTTATTGAACTGTTGACGGTTTATACTACATTTTTCTTTAGCCAAATTGGTAGGTGTTCCTGGGCACGGAAAACTATGTTCTTTGGGAAACAGCTAATGCATTTCGCCTAAAACAAAGTAGGCGGGTTCAGCCACTGTTGATAACCTGATCTAACTTATGTCAGCTCAAGATCAAACCAGTAACCAATTAAATCCTTGCAAACCGACACCTGATAACAATAATTCTTTAATTATGATAGTTTTATAACTGTAGAACCTGATGAAGAACAAGTTATCGCAGAAAGTATTTCTTGTTCAATAATCTCTGTATTTTGAGATTGCAATACTGTTGTTCAGTGTATTTTGGGATAGCCTTGGCTTTCAGGTGCGACGAAAGTTCAAATTAATTCAAGATTTGAACTGGGCGTTAATTCCCCTTTCAAACATCGGCCGCTAACATAAAGTAGAGCTGTGATGTATTTTCTAAAGCTCCCAGCTTGAATGCAGTGGTTACCACATAAGAGTCCAGTCCAGAGTGTTTCGGTCTGGATAGCTGGTTGTACACGAAAAGTGTCTGTTCTAGGCAGCTGAATACTAATATAAAGTACATCTAGGCAAAAGAAAAAAAATTGAATTCATCTTACATGATCCATAGTATAAACATCAAAATCTCCAGGTGGTTGAGCAGCCATCCAGTAATTTCCTTCTGTTGATCGACTATTTAAATCCTTTTTTAATTTTCCAACACCTTCTAATAGCTTATTATTGTTAGTTAGATTATTATTATTATTGTTATTGTTACTAGTGATATTCGACCAATTGGGTTCATTCCCTTTAAGTCGACTTGTCATCACAGAAGTGAAGAGAGCTGATGCTTTTGATAAGTTTGGATTTTTAGCATCAGTCACTGATGTGTCTTGATGATCAGCTATTTTATCGATCAGCTGTTGTACTAAACGTCGTGTGGTTGATTGTAAATTGAATAAAGAATTAATTGATGGAGATGAACTCCAAACTGGAATTCGCAAATAATTTGCTACATAGAAGACATCATCATGATCACCGAAACCAGGTATTAGAATAGCTGGACGTCCAGCAATAAAACGACGAATATGCTTCAATGCTCTCGGACTATACTTTAGTAACGAAGCTAAACACATTGGAGCTAAAGCATTAGACTAGAAACAAAGAAGAGTAAGAAGAAAATGAAGATAAATTTATAGGGTTATCATAAATAATATTGTTCACAATAGACATTAACTTGATTTAAAATCAAAACAGTTGTGTAAGGCTTCATAGGGAATTATCGTTTCAAGTGACCATCACCGGCAGTGATAGTCAGAGATGTGCAGTCTTATCATTTTAATTGAATTTCACTATAGGTATGACCCTGGTTAATTTAGATACTTCAGGGTTCGATTTGCTGCCAGAAAAAAGTTTCTTCTTGTTCTGGAATATTCAGATGGAACAGAAATTTTATCTGAAGGCTCTGACAACACACAGAATCTTATCAACACACTGATCATATACCTAAGTATGCCTCACACAAGATTCGCCTCTGTCAAATATTGGATGACACTACAGGATACGTTCACTATTTGGGCTATATTATTCTGGTTCTATTTTAAATATTGTTTTTACCAACATGTAATGATAGTCTCTCGCCCTCTCGACTGGAATACTCATTTCAATACCATCGTATGAACCGACAAAATCTAACAGGAAGCTTTCAAACATTCATTATTGCTAGCTGATATTCGCATGAACAAAATATTTAGCAGCTGCAACAGTATTCGTCCGAGAGTGACATAGAGGAAATAGTGTGAGGGTGAGATCAGAGTTTATGGGCAAATGTAGAACCAGCTGAAAAGGACTACAGAGAACAGGATGAAATGGAGATGTACTGATGAAGCCCTATTTTGACTTTGCTCCCAAAACACACCACACCACAGACAACTAATTCATTGTATTGAATAATCTATAAATACAGTAAATAGAGCAAGTAGACTTACATGGAAATATTTAATTGCTTCTGGTACAATTATACGATAACGTGAATTAATTGATGATTGATCCTCTGCTTGACCAGTTTCAATAGCACTTGATAAACCTAATAATTTACTATAATATTCTAAAAGATCATCAGATATCGGTACACGTGTAACTATGACAACATCAGTATTTGGATCTAGGTGAACAAAAACAACGGTAAATATAATAACAATAATGACAACATAATACATAATAGTAGCTTTCTCCTTATAATGATAACTGATTTCTCCAAAATTATTAGCCTACAGTCCGCATTTTACTTACAAGGGGCGCTGAGATTCACTGTTTAAGTTAACTAGATAAGCCGAAGATAGGCCATCAAGTACCCACACTATTTAGCATGGTGTGATGTTATGTTTGGTTTTTCGTCATCATTGCTTTATATTGCTGATCCGATAATATGTTGTGTATTTTGGACGACCAATTTGTTGTTTTTATTTGGCTAACAAAAAGTTATCTAGCCTGAAGACAACAAGAATTTTGGGAGTTCGGTAATATACATTTGTATTTGCATATAGCGTATCTTGAGTACCCATCTATATCCTCCATCTTCTAAATTCTAAACAATACGTGTGTATAGAGTACAACATTTTTACAGTGTGTTTTATCTATCCCTTTATACCGAAACTTCAAGTAAAATAATAATCTACACGATATGCTGTTTGACCTTAAAATTGCTCCGATCGTCCGACAATTTTGTCTCTTAAAAATGTACCTAGTGGTATATTTAAAGCCATTCAAAAATGCATGTCAGTATAAATTTTTCTTCAAAGACATAATCAGATGGTTCATAAAAAGTGAAATTAAGTTAACTTTTATGCATTATACCCTATGAAAAACCGGGTAATCCAATGATTTAAGTGGATGAAAGGAGGCAAATGAAAGGAATTAAAGCAGTAAAGTAAATATCAGTCTGATAGGATGAAATTATCAGATTTATTAGCACTAGAGTGTTGTTTCGTGATTCATTTCGCACTGAACTTGAGCTCCTTGGATAAACATCCGCGTAAGCATCTACTCGGATGTCCATCATTGCTGGATTCGATATTTTATAGCAATATATAAAATATTGTTGAAGAATCCAAACCTAAGACTAGACAGTCACTCAGCGGTCTTAAGCATGAAGATCTACTGCACTCAGCACAAGGAATAACGTTCGAATTTTCGACACTGATGTCAAGTCACTGCTTTTATATGCATTACACACGCCGTTAAAGGCATTTCTAACAGACTACTGCAGACTTTCTTCAACAGCTGGCTCCGCCCACAATTGAAAATCAGGTGGCCGTTCAGAAAGGACAAGAAGCAAAAAGCTGCAAAAGGTAGTGAACTAACTAAGAATCTAATGCCCGACAAATATGCAGAAGAAAATGGAGATAGAGTGGACATATGCTCAAGAGGCTGTTGAGTGAAACCACGTCTCAGGCTATCGAGTTAGTCACACATCCAATGGTGACATAAGATTTTGAAGCCTGTTATGGTTACGCCCCCACAAAGTTTGTGAACCAAATAGAAACACTAACTAGACATTTGTGTTGAAAATGCGGATCTTGTTCTTTGTGCGAAGTGCAGCAGATTTCCATACTGCTTTCATAGTAATGCAAATTTGGCTTGCTTTCTCTACCTCATCCTGGCTTTGAAATTCTTATCTATGTCATCTATAGTTGAAATGATGCTGTCTAGATACGTGAAAGAAATGATTCCCTTTCAAATACCTCCCGTTAATAGTGATTGATGCTTGTTGTTAGTGGTGTCGGTGGTTAAGAATCTTCTAAATCTTTTTTCTGTATGTCCACTAGAATTCCTTTCTTCGCTGCTTCCTCTATTAACACTGTTTGTTTTCACCTGTAGACATTTTAGTTTGTCTGACATCAGGCATGCATCATCAGCAATGTCCAAATCTAACCAGTAACAGGCAACATCGCATAAAATATGACTAATACAGGATACTATCTTCGAATTGTGAGATCAATGTAAGGCTTATGATTTTCTCAAATGTTTATTAGTATTTTCTTTTCAGAACTAACAGTAAACTTTAATTACAGATATCACAGTTTGTGTCGATCTTCAATCCCAGGACTCATTCAACAGTTATTTCATCAATTACTAGTTAAATCCAGAGATAGTTTGTATTATCATATAGACTTAAAGGGATTCAGAAACATTTTCTGTATTCAAAGGCATGACCTCATTGTAACATGTAACACATTGATGCACGATTTACATAAAATATCAACTCTGTTATTGTATACGCTAGTGAATCCCTTCCCAAAAGCTGTTATACACTCACTTCGAACTTCACAAATTCTTGCAATTTGACGACTTTCCATATACTCCAATTCTCCTATATTGCCTAATTGTTGTCTGATTAATGTGGAATAACTCGCAGACGGCAGGTGAATAACAACATGTTTGTTCTGTTCAAAGTGTTCCCAGTTACTACCGAGTTCCTTAAAATAATTCAGAAAAATAATGTATAGTAATGAAGTTATGCATACACACAAGCACATATGAATAAATGACGCATTATAATCGCTGGATTACATTTTTAGATACTGAGAAACGCTGACGCTTAACAGTCACGGAAATATGAGGTGATTCAACTTATGATACTGATGAGCATGAATATAATGTGAAATGAAACACTGGAAATGTGCATTTTATATCTTTTAATACTTAGTATAGCATAGAAAATTGGTTAGACTTTATATTGAAAACAATTTCAGTTACTACTACCTGAAGAGAGTACTGGACAGCTATTTCGTCCTTGTTTCTGACTATTCAACAATGCTCACCCATGATCCTTGATGGGTTTGTAACGAAATAAGTTCGACATTTAAAACACCAATTAATCGGGTCCCAGTGCCTTAATGGTCAACGTGTACGCCTAACCCTAAACCCACTGGGTGCTGAAGAGTCCTAAACTGGGATGAAACAGCTGCCCAGTACTTCCTAATGGTTCTCCAGTGATTCCCTAACTGATGTCAGTTCATTATCAAACGACAACCAATCAAATCCCTAAAAATCGACACTTGGGAATCAGTCTTCACAAGTGATATAAATAAATACTGTGATTTATAACAAGTACCACTCTGAACATTGCGAACCCACTTTATTTTAGTGTCACACGTTGGAACTGCACTTAGCCAAATTCTTAACGTAGAATTTCGCACAAAAGTACAACAGTTTAAGATGTAAACTTCATAAATGCACACATAAGGGAAAAGGAAACTTATGGAATGAAAAAACCTGTCAAAAGTCGTAATTCATAGAAGACAGAGAATTTAATGAACCTGAGAGTTCATAGGAATTAAATATATCTTCATCAATTGATGCAATGTATCAGTTTGATTTACCCTAACTCCTTTTCAACCTAATCTGCGACGATTCAGAAATACCCGTTAATGAAGGTAATGGCTCCGTAATATTTTTCATTGAAAGTTTGCCCGTAATGACATCAACTGAGATAATTTAAGATTCTGTAATAAATTTCAGCTTAGGAATGAGAAATTTGATAAGAATTATGTATTATGAATCACCTGGTAAACCAACATAGAACTTTACTCAAAAATCCACAGTTACAATCTGCGCTTCTCTAAGAAAGCACACAAAAGTTAAAAATAGCAATGTAACGTTAATGCAGTTAAAGGAGATCTATAGCAGAAAGAAAATTAATTGAAGATTATTGACGTAAAGAGCGAATACTCTGCATCATAATGCAGATGATGTCGACACATCTCATCAACAGACTCCAATCAATAACTCTCAGAGTCCTAAGTATTCCAGTCAGATAGTGTGCACCTCGGGTAGGTGGCTCAAACCAACAGTCAAAGCTTCATGCATTGGTGGCGTGTTTTGGTCAAACCATCACAGATTCGATTAATACCGTATCCAAATAAAAATGAAGTGCTAAATCAATTATACCTTGGAAAATTTTATAAAATAAGACTTGTAATCTCAAACAGTCTGAATATGTTTTTAATCGAAATCATCATTTTTAAATGATACAGTTGCTGGTGAGCGCTACTGTTTGACATGAATGATTTCCAATTATTCATACATTCATATCAGTAGTATATAACGTTACTAATGTGTTATTTTTTATTCTATAGACTGAGCAGATCGATAACTGAGTGTCACATTTTTTTTATTAATTTTAATGCTTAAGGTCAATTTCATGCATACCTATCACAACACTATAAAATCTCACCTATAAGAAGACTGAAAAGAATACTTAAAGGTAAAGTAACGTTCCACCTACATTCTGAAATCAAATTCTGGATTCAACGATGAATTTCTATTGTCAGAGAGCTTCCATAACCGTGACGAAATAGATGTACTATACTCTTGCATTTTTGATGCATTTCTAACCCAGGTTTATCTCTTTTTCATTGTTTTGCTTCCCAAGTGGAACATGAATCTTTAAACTTCAGCTTTGAAGCTCCAGTAGTAGTCTTGTTGTTTCTTTATACAGTATGAAGTTGCTAGCTTTACATCAGACCTCCTCCCTCTACCGAGTTTACTTCAAGCTAAGTGAAGCTTAGCAGTGAGTCAACCTAGAATCAAACCCGGATGACGTGTGTGGTCAGTGAACATTCTGCCGAGAACCACTACTGAGGTATAGAGTTAATCTTTACTGAGAACTATATTGACATTTTAATCTAAAAAGTCTGATAGGACTAGAATATATCAGAGTTTTCCTTAGAGTGGAAAGTGACACAGATACGGATGATGTTTACACACAGTCTATTACGAAATACAAAACACAATGGTTGCTGACTGAATTCTATGAGTCCAATTTACAGAATGATCCCCAAACTAGAAGATTAGCCACCACTGCACACTTTGATGACTGGAAGCGATCCGCAGAAGGCCGTGAAACAAGGTTCCGTGCGATCTAGCACTCGTCAGAAAAGTGTATAAGGAATCTCTGAGGAAATGATACTGCCTCTGATACTTAAATCTTTAACACAAACTACCACACTGAAAAATGTAAATTGAGAATTGAATAGCTTGCTGGTAACGTCATTGACTTGTGGCTCGGATTCGGATCTGCGTAGGAACATCAGTTCTTTTGAGGCTGCAGATAAACCTTACTGACGAGTACCAGCAATCACGAAACGCAAGTCCAAGGTTTTTTGATATTAGTATAAATGTGGGAGAGTATAACTCCATTATGGATAAGATTTTATTTTGATAAATCACACAGTAATATTTACTGATGACATTTCGAGCATAATCTATTACTGCCCATAATCATATCAAGGTACTCATACAACATTCTAACTTCGTTTACATAATTCCATTATCTTTCATCGCTTGACTTCATTGGTAGTGGTGTGGTGAGAGATGGTTGCTAGCCAAATTGGTTGACAGTAATTGAGGTCAAGGTCAAGATGGACAGGCGGATGCAGTTAATTTGAATAAAGCAAGAACGAAAGTGGGTTGTGCAGAATAATATGGTACCATCATTTATTTCGTAGGCTTCTCATCAGCTGCTTACAGCCTAAATACATAATGAGGTTTGCGTACAGAAAAGTTTTAACATACTTGCAAATTTTTACATGTTGCCAGTTGACAAAAAGTTCCACAGTAAGTGAACAGTGCTCAGAAAATTGCGCTTATATAGTTTTTACACATGCAGTTCAAGTTTAAACAAAATAGATGTATGCATACAATGGTAAAGGAGTTACGTAATAAAGTCGATAGATACCCTTCTCATGTTAACTCCAACTGTGTATACAAATTTACGTGTATCTGCGGGAGCAGTTACATTGGGAGAACAGAAAGAAGGGCACACCTCCGATTTTCTGAACATGTGCCAAGAAGCCTACGTCTCAAGGGAACAAACTCTTATAGCAGCGCTATCACTAGACATCTTCTCGACACGGGTCATGAGGTAGAAATCGAGAAGTCCTTTAAAATTATCAATAGACAAAGGAGTTCTATTCTCCTCAAGTTTGCCGAAGCAATCTCTATCAAACGCTTGAAACCAGATTTATGTGTTCAGAAAGAAGCAGTTATTAATCTCTCCTTGCCCTGGTAACTGAATGTCTTTATTCTCTCATCTGATTACGTAATCTTTGTCTTTAACCTCACCCCCTTTTATATTCTGTAATTTTGCTTGTCTCTTGTTTCTATGATTTGAGTTGAACTCAGTGCATTGTTACCTAATTTATTAGTCACTCTGTATCTAACTCATATTTCATCTTTATTACGTAACTCCTTTACCATTGTATGCATACATCTATTTTGTTTAAACTTGAACTGCATGTGTAAAAACTATATAAGCGCAATTTTCTGAGCACTGTTCACTTACTGTGGAACTTTTTGTCAACTGGCAACATGTAAAAATTTGCAAGTATGTTAAAACTTTTCTGTACGCAAACCTCATTATGTATTTAGGCTGTAAGCAGCTGATGAGAAGCCTACGAAATAAATGATGGTACCACATTATTCTGCACAACCCACTTTCGTTCTTGCTTTATTCAAATTCATCAAGGGGAATAAATGCATGAAGGATACAGTTAACATATAGATGAAATGACACAGCCACAAGAGATGCAAGGTTAACTTTGTGTGAGAAACAACCAATCAACAGACTGTATTTTCTACTAACATTAACCTACAATAATGTACATCAAAATCTATAAATACGTGTTGATTTTCCGTAATAAACGTTCTGTTGCCTGGCCCTTGTCTTCCGTTGTTACAGTAGTATTTTCCATATTTCAGGTAGGAGTGATGAGTCATTACATCCTATTGCATATGTTGGGTGTAGACTCGATGAACAAGGATTCAGTAATCAACCTCTCTCTTCACCTACCTAGATTGCTTTTTAGAATTTTAACCCTCTCCCGCCCTATTGTGTGGTTGTGTGTTAATGCATGCAGTGCAATGTAGTGCTGAGCTTTTTCCTAAATTACTTATCTTCTCGGGGCCAACCATTCTAAACTTAACTAAATTCTTATGTTTCGACAATCTGACTATCCCCGACCTACTAGCTTGACCTGTGCTGTTGACTTCACAGACATTGCAAGGTATTTTGTAAATTATATAATTTTGTTTAATTGGGTCCACTCGGTCCCTTAACCTACAGAACTTGTCCCTGAGTGAGTTTGTAGGTTTGAATGCCACCCTAATTCCTGCTTTATTGAGAGTCCTACGTAGGGTCTCAGATGCCCCTTCCTTATATGGTATAACTTGTAGATGCCTTATATTCTCTCTTATTTATGTTATCACTATTAGTCTCACCGTTGTTTTTATTTGACCTGTTTTGATATTCCTAATGAGTTTTATAGGATAGTTATTTGATGCCAACGCCTCTTCTATCTGCTTTATTTCATCATTTACGTCTTTTTTGGACTACTTAGTGCTACTGCTCGGTAGGTTAAACACTTAACTAAGCCCACCTTTACAGACAACGGATGAGATGGATTAAAGTCTAAGTATCTATTAGAATGCGTTGGTTTTTTATAAACACTAGTGTGCAGTTTACCTTCTTCTGTTCGTTTTATTTTACAATCTAACGTAGCTAATTCTCCTTGTTTATTTTCCGATTCAAATGTGAATTTCATTCCCTCTACTAGTGAGTTTATATGTGTCAAGAAGCTAGAGATATGTTCTGTTTTTAACACTGTGAGTGAAAGTGTCATCCACATATCTCCACCATATTTTTGGAGTAGGATTAAATGTATTAAGAGCGATATATTTCCAACTGTTCATAAAGATATCTGCTACGATAGGGGATATTAGTGGTCCCATCCGTTTATATATTTTGCCCGGGAATTTAAAAACAGTAGATGTGAGGCATAACTGAATTCCTAAAATAATTTTCTCAGTGGGCAACTTTGTCCTATGACTAAGTTCACGATCACAAGTTAGTTCTCTTTTATTTTTATTTCTTGCCGACTCTCTCCAACCATTCAACATCGCAGTATGATGATTTTCACAAAACAATGACAATTAGTTTACTCAAATAGTAATTTAATTATTTTAAAATAAAAGTTAACGAACTATTTGACAATATCCTACTTATTAATTCTCTGGTTGTGGATTTATGAAGATTTTTAAGAATTCCAAGAACCACTGGATACTTTTTTGCCTCTAAATTCAACCTTTTTCAGTAGTGTACGTGCAGAATCACCGGAGAAATGAGGAGATCTTGATCTGACAGATTTTATTCAGGTTGTGATCATGTATAGCGATAAAACTACCTAATTAAAACAGAAAAGTTACCTGATACTCTGTAGTTTTAAATACATATTCAGTGTTATGAAAATTGGTAAACAAACATGTTATTGCAGCTGTGCGCAGTTTTACCTTCAGTCTCCTCTCTGATGCTTCTGTACAGTGTTTCCTAACTTGACTTAATCTTTCTCTCAACTCTTTCATTTTTTTATAACGTGTCCATGAAGCAGATATGACAGCAGCTGCTCCTCGAAGACGCCTATAGGAAAGAACAATGGCGAAACCAAAAAATAAAACAATGTTTTAAAGTAGCATAATGGTGAATACTGCTGATGATTGATATGAGTACTTCGAAATCAGTCATATTGATCAAGATTGTTTGCTTGCCAGATCTAGGTGGATATGCCTGTCTTTCGTAAACCCAATTTCTCCAGTTCAATTTGACAATACCTAGTTGGATCATAAGCCTCCATTGCTGGTAAGTCCCAAACTAGGATGAAACAGTTGTTTAGCGGTAAATAATAATAACAGCAGCTTTATTCTGGAAAACGTGTTTACACAATGTACAGAATTCTCAGCTAAATCTTTTGTGTAACATTTTCTCTTAATCCAGTGTCTTCAAGCAAAATAGGAGAATAAGGTCTATCATGTGACACAACGCTGTTCGGTTTGAAGCATACACTAATCCTTAATGACATTTTTGCTTCATCTCCAAGAAATGCTAACCTGTAGTTTGAAAGCCAATCGAAACTGCGCACGAGCACATTTTTACGACTCAAAAGCACAATAGAATGGTTAAAACAATAAAAAAATAGTGAAAAGGCAATGCGTTGTGTTGGATAGCAGTTTAGTTAGCCCAGTGATTTAAGCAGGCCACCAGGCGCTTTTAATAAATTCTTAAGGTTTTTAGAAATTGTTTCGATATATGGAGAATTTCTGTTGTGATGGAGAAAGAGGAATGGAGGGATTTAAAGCAAAGGTAAGTCTCAGAAGATTCTTATAGTCCTACAACCAAAAACTGAATTTCCTGTATACATGAAGCGTTAGCTTCTCATCCACATTCTCTAAAATATCCAAAATCACCTCTCTCGTGAATACCATGGTTAAAGGTGGGCCACGCTATTAACTTCGGATATTAAACATTATTATAGACCTGTTACCTATCCATTTCATTTCAATATCTTAACAATATATTTTATTCTACACATTACTTCATATTATCCATTCCTTGAGTTCCCAGTGGAACATATGGATTCAGGAGCACACATGCATTGCACCCCGTTGTCTACCATCAATTTCGAACACCTTAAGCAGCAATCTTAGAATGTTTGGCTTGCGATTCGCTCCCGTCAAATGTAAGATGATGCTTCAGGACTGGACTACATCGACTCACTCCTAGCTTAAAGATAGGCAGGAGTGAAATGGTGGCTGAGCCTGCTAACCACACCACTTGTGTGAGGAGTTGAATCAACCAGCGGAAGTGGGTTGATTGCTGACGAAATCTCAGCACGGATACAGAAGGCTCGTTCGGCATATGTCTGCCAACTTACTCCATCTCTGGCGTAGACATGATATCCGGCTGTCAAACAAAGGACGTGTATACTGCTGCTCAGCAGTTTGGTCTGTCTTCCTTTATGGCTGTGAGTGAGACATGGTCATTGAAAGTGGATTACATGAAAAGCCTGGCTAGCTGGCTGTCTTTGATCATAGGCATCTGCGCTCTATCTCCCGTAGCATGTGGCGGTATAATGGGGTGAGCAATATGGAGGTTAGGCAATGGTCATGATATCGACGGGCATGATATCGACGCAGTCAAGTCATTCACCATTGTCAGCAGACAAAGAAACAAGAAGATGCTTGCAATTGCAGAGGCTTGTGCAATTCGAGTTTACAAACCAGGTCTCTGTGTACAAAAGGAGATGGTCGTGACTCTGAATCCACCATGGTAATACGTTTTATTTACAATTCTACCTCTTATTATTATTTTATTATTACTATTATTATTCTCATTATTATTATTCTTGATTCATTTAAAACTATCCTTTATCAGTAGCATTATCTTAACTCACTTCAACACTATTATTACTGTTATTATAACTATTACTATTGACATCGCTTTGGTTGCAATTCTTGTTAAATTCTCTAATGTCTAATTGTTTATCTAAATGATGTAATTGAAGCGTAATGCAATTTATCTTAATTTTGATCTCCCATACTCTCTCTCCCCTTATCTAATTGGACATGACCTGGAAAAACATTCGCACCTGTCTTTCTGCATGATTAATTCAATGTAGTTTATTTACTTATCAGTCCTATATCTCCCAATGTAACTTCAAAAGTATATATCCGTGTATGTAGAGTATTCAGCTGACGAGTTCTACCGAAATTTGATGAATTCATTAAATCCTGCTTTATTAACCTTTATTGCTTGTTTTAAAATGGTCTAGTGCTAGGTAATGAGAGGAAATCAATCGGCGAGGTTGTGAAGTTACACCGATTGAGATGGTTCGAACATGTGTTACGCACGCATTTCTAGCCATCGCCTTCCTCTACGGTTAGTGTTAGCTAACTGACATGGGATCAGGTTCGAAATGAGCTAGTGGCGTATAAGTATTAAACTTGGGCACTGTGGTAGAGCATAACTCCATTATGGATAAGATTTTATTTTGATAAATCACACAGTGTTGTACAGTAATATTTACTGATGACGTTTCGAGCACAAACTATTGCTTGATATGATTATGAGCAATAGTTTGTGCTCGAAACGTCATCAGTAAATATTACTGTACAACACTGTGTGATTTATCAAAATAAAATCTTCTCCATAATGGAGCTATTGGCGGTCAAACCAAAACACGGCTTCATCAGTCAATGAAACACACAACAGTTAGTTTATGCCAGTCATGTAGGGAGGTAGAGACCTCCTTACTGGATGGGGTTCTCGGGATGATAAAAGCCAATGGCTGGAGACAATTGGTGATGTGGCTCAAAATAGTTCTCAGTGGCAGTCGCAAATGCCTTCACCCTTTGTGGTGATTTATAATATCCAATAAAATTCTGATGTTCTCACATATTACTATTCTTTTTGCCTCATATTTCTGTTTATTATCTTTCTCTATTGAATTTCTCTCTACTCTCTTCTCTCGCTTTGTGTGCTAGAGAGAGGAAGAGTGGCAACTCGAACTGCTGCACATCTGTACTAAGTTCAGTGTTGAAACCAGTCAGTCAGTCAATTTATAGCGGCTTTATTTCTGCGCAAAAACTTTCATTCTCTCTTAATATGACTTTTATGTTACCCTCTGATACTCAACTCATCGCCTGCCACCCCGATTTATTTTGAAGGCATGATGGGTGATGTCACTGAATGGTTTATTCGCCACATTTCAAATTCATCTCTTTTTGTTTCTGTATATTTGTTAGGTTCAAGTTTGATTCGGTGTCTACCACATCTCCTTGTTGCTTACACATTCCAGTTGACTCTCTGAACTTCGGTATCGAGCAAAGGCAGCTGTTGATGAAAGTCTGCAGCTACTTGTTAGAATTGACTTTGATGATGAGCAGGACAAGTGCGTGTTTCACATAGAAGCACCGACTTGTTCTTTGTGCTAAGTATTGTAGGTCTCCACGCTGCTTTCAGAGCAATTGACGCCTATTTTGCTCTCTCTAAACTGTTTAGCTTGCTTCAACATTCTTATTCGCACCGCCTATAGCTGCAATAATACTGTCCAGGTCGGATAAATGAAAGGAACGATTTTCTTCACATTTCTCCCGTTGATGATGATGAAGATTTGTTGTTATTTGCTGGATATCTACAACAGAAATTTCTTCTCTATGCTTGCCTGAAGTCCTGTCTTCACTATCACTTCTATCAACTCATTGACTGCCTCCAACTTTGTGAGACATGAAATATGTATCATCTTGTCCAACCAACTAAATCTTATATCAGCTAACATTGACCATCAAGGAAGACAGTGGTTCTGTAACACATTTCCTAATCATTTTGGCCAACGCAGTCCTGCACACCCATCGGGTAACGTTCCCTTCACACCCAACACTTTACGTCTAACTTTAGTATTAGTGCTATTATCACCAAGTCTAACATAAAACTTTGAACGGAGGTGCATACAACCGAAAAACCCTCATTACTTTCACCTTGAACAGCAATGTCTCGCCGCCATAAAGTCAGACGGAGAGAACTGCCGCACAATATATACATTCTTTATTAAATATCGGGGTAACGCACTGGGACTGAAGATGATACAAGTCCCAAAATATCAAACTAGCCTTGTGTATCTGCACAGATGTACAGATCAGACCTACACCTCAAGAGCATCAAACACGAATCAGACATCAGCTCATACATCTTATCACATACGAATACAAATTGGTGTTAAGAAGTGTGAAAATTACCAACTTACTTTTGTTCATTGTATTGTTTCTGGGCTCGAAAACGTCGAAAAGTTGACTGAATTTTTATTGCAGCTCTATCACGACCATTACGACCTCGAAATGAAGAACCCTAGTTAATCCAAATTAATCAGAAATCAATATAACTGAAAATCATTTTATATAAATCTATTTTTATTTTCAATACACGAGAGGCCCAGATATAACTCAGCTATGATATCTTAAAATAAAATGAAACTACAATGAAGGTGTTCAATACGTCAATGCTATTAAAGCAAAACTTCAAACTACTGATAACCCAAAAGTAATATGATTGATTAGCTACAAAAGATGTTCTGTGGGACTCATGATACATTCATCCAGGAAATTCTCAGGAGATCGAAAAGGAGGACACTTGGATCATTGCCTAATGTGTTAGAATGCCAGTGTTCATACCCCGATACCCCATGACTCTGCTCACAGTCCTGCATAAATTTTTAGAATGTACACCTCTGACTATTTCAAAAATAGAACGAAATATTTGTTCAATGAAGGGAAACTGGTACATCCGGTGATCAGTCCCCAACAGGACGAAATGCGCATCCTGGATTTCGAAGCTAGTCATCATGCACGAGAGTTAATTCATAGAAAATTGGCTGGAAACGAAGTAATTCCGCAGAAATCAATCAAGATGTTACAATGTCGTTCCAAAGTGCATGAAAAGCAGCCACTTGTACATTATATACTATTCAGTATTAAAAAACATTTTTTAATTTACTTAAAATTTCCTGGCTTGACCAATGTACTTGTATTAAACAGAACGTGCGATTTGCAATTGTCACAGCTAGAAGTGGCATTCCACCAGTTTTTCTTGGAAACCGGAATTTTTCAGACCACAACTTGATCCACTTGATATCACAATTCGCAATTAAGAAAGAAAGTATGGCGCTTTCTGGATGGTTTGAATTAATTTCGCCCTCTTAGTTGAATCAAATTCTGTAAAGTCGGATTTACAGCTGATGAGCTCCGCCCTAAAGGAGTGTCTAAATCTGCCGCACTCAGAATAAGAAACAAAATTCGTATTTTTAACACTAATGTGAAGTCAGTTAGTTCTTCTATGTGGTTCAGAGACTTGGCGTATCACAAAAAGCATTTGAGACAGACTACTTACTGTAGGCTTTGATCAACAGCTTCCTTCACTCGGTAATACTGAAGATCAGACAACCAGAATGCACTAACAACAAGGAGCCCTCACAAGTAGCGAACCAACCAATAACCTATCGATTAACAAATACACCGAAGAAAGTGGAGACAGATTGAACATATATATAGTGAGGAGATATTTGTGTGACATTATCCATCAGACTCTTGAACGGAAATTGAGTGAGAAAAAGTGACTTTGCATGGGTCCGGGTACGACATGGAGAAGATCGTATGCGTAGGAACTGATTGATTACGGGTAGTCGTGGAGCCAGCTAAGAAAAACTGCATAAAAGAGAGTGAAACGCTAACGTGCTGCTGCTGCTGCTGAAACCCTATTTTCCACTCGGAAACCAAAGGAACAATAGTAATAATCACTGAGAATACTAACGGTCACTTGGAATAATGATGTCAACCTGGAAAATCTTAAACAGAGCTAGAAATGAAGCATTCTAAACATTATAAAATCACCCATTATTATGCAACAAGAAGTAGAAATAGTGAAGTGTAAAAGTCAGCTAAACTAACCGCTTTAGAAATTAATCGATGAATTGTTTGAGAATCTTCTATACAAGTCAATAAGATATCAGTTGTTAACTTTTCAAAATTATTTTCATACTCTTTGGATAATTTTGCCAATCTGTTGTGTAACAAAATGAATACAAAAACAAAGAGGATGTAAGTGTAGAATTTGGACATTGTGGTAGAATAGATTTTCATATTAGATAAATTTATTTGATATAACACACAGAGTCAACGATACAATAATATTACTACTTAGATGAGCGCAATTTATTGCTGCTCATAATCATATCAGTATTTGCACACATCTTCATAACTTGCTTTACATATATTTAAACTCTCACCTGAAATCGGAAAAGATGGGTTTTCAGGAGTTGATTTGTAAGAATTTGATTTGTTTTCCGAGTCTGACCACGGATTGATATCAGTTAGAGAGAGATCCAGTGATAAATTAGCAAGGAGTACTGGACAGCCATTTCATCCTAGTTTCGGAGTCACCGGCAGTACGCACTCACTAGGCTTTGAACCCTGGATTTCTAGTTAGAAGTTGTGACCAGTTAGACCCACCTAGTTGGGAGTGAAGATGAAGTTCCCACCGATGACTCTGGTTGGTGGTCACGCTAAAAATCACAAATTGGTAGAAGTTAGAATTCATGGGTTGGACATTGAGGAGGAAGGTCCTAGTTGTTGAATGGTCTACGAGATTGTATTTTAACGGGAACGTCCTGGGTCCGAAACCCAATGAGTGCGTACTGCCCAAGATCCCCAAACTAAGATGAAACAGCTGCTAGTACTCCCTGGTTTTCAATGATTGTCTAACTGATATCAATCCGTGGTCAAACTCGAAAGATGGGTTTAGTTAAGTGTTTAGATAATCCGGTCAGGAGGCTAACTAGTCAGAAGATTTAAATAATGAAATTAAATACGCAAATAAAACATTGCCAGTGATGAACTATCTACCAGGTTTTATTCAAAAGTGTATTAAGACCTATAAGGAAAATAAGAGTAGTAATTGAATAATGAAAATGGTACAAATAACAAGGAATTCTAAGCCCCCGTAGTACTACCATACGAATAATAAATATCAGAAGCCCTGCGTAAGGCTAGCATTACGGTGACATTTAAATCATAGAGACAAACTTTGTCGGCCTAAGAACTCGACGGATCCAGTTAAGAAAAACACTATAATTTACTAAATACCATATAGTGATTGTGAGGTCAACTGCACATAGTTCAAACCAGTAGATCAGGTACACTTCAATTATAGGAATATAGGAATTTAACTAGGCCTAGAATGATTAAGTTAAATAACTTGAAAAAAATCTCAGTCAGCGCAATGCATTCACTTACATGTAATCACACAGTACGGTGGGATAGAGTGAAGTTATTTAAGAGTAATATATTTAGATGTAAAGATGGAGGTTAATCACTGGATCTTTGTTCATCTAATCAACACCAAACACGTGCAAACCAAATGACGCAACAACTATGTCGGATATGTGGATAATGGCGACCGAAACAGGGAAGGGCAGTGAAAATATATAAAGCAAGTTATGAAGTCATGTGAGTAGATATAACGGAGATTTGTAAACCACCTAGATCAGAGAACACAACTACATCAAAAGAGTCACGTGAGTACATTGATATAACTATGAGCAGTAATAAACTGTGCTCGAACTGTTATCCCAGTTATCAATATTGTGTCACTTACCCTGTGTTATATCAAATGCACTGATTTACAAAAAGGGAAATTTATAATTCGATTGGAATTTAAATTACTTATTGGATACACAATCAATTTACAAACTCTACATCCTATGTTAATATTCTCTGAATATTTTTCAGTGCCTTCTGTCATTCAACTGTTGACAACGTTTCAATTTGAATTTATTTGGAAACTTTTGACTATAAGGCTAATGATAGCTATGTCAGTCATTCAGTCAGTTCTACTAATGAAGCAATCTTTCAAATCTTCATTTCAAACACATGATAGACGCTCATTCAACTATGACAACGATGAAAGCACAAAAAATATAAGAAGAAAATTAACAAAAAGAATACTCACTTCAATCCATTGACAACAGCAACTGATATACCATAGAAATCAAATAAATTTTCAATTTCATACATAAGTGTTGAAATCCTATAAACAAGAGATTTAAACCATGAAAAAAAGAAAAAAAATAGCAACTATTGCAATGTCAATTTCGCTGCATGAGCATCTGTTTTACCCAGACATATTGAACCAAATGGGCTATATTTTCTTATTACAACTTCAGGACACACATCTAGTACTCCCTAGAGAGCTGGGAATTGATATTTAAACTTATTGTTTGGCAGTATTGCTGTTCTGTGAACTGACAGCAGCCACAATTCGCGAATCACTGAATTCCATCCTAGCGGTTGAATGGTCAGCACGCTGGGTTCAGTCTCTTCGAGAATCATTGGAACACACTGCCAAACAACGTGAGAACAGGTGTTCAGTGCTCGTTGGTTTTCAAAAATTCTCTAACTGTTGTTGTTTGCATGACGAAATCCCTACTGTAACTATTCAAGGTCTCTACAAAACCCAGTAAATTTGAATGTCAGTCTTTAGCTCATTGGTGGCTACGGGGTTGATATTCTGAAGTTGTGGTGAGAAGCTTTAACCAAGTGGTCCGCGGTGCCACGGCGAAGCAGGTGATTATTGATGCCATTGGTTGGATGTAGCGTTTTATCGCGAATTCACAGAGGTTAGATTTCACAGGTCACTGGATTCTAAGCCATTGACTAAATAGTCAACAAATTCGATTCATAACCTGAATGTCATGAGTTCTATTCCTAGTGGAATCATGGATATGCACTTCTGAAAAGTGAAAAACTAGGACAATATAGGTGACTAGTGTCTCTTGGTTTTCAATGATTCTCTAACTGAAATTAACCCCAAAATCCCTGAGAAACCCAAAGTTTGAACAAATATTTTTGTTTACTTCATAAGTAATAATAATAATAAATAGTATTTTCGTTCACAGTTAAGTGATTTTAGTTTTCTAGCGTCGAAAGAAATCTCTCCTTTTCAAAATGAGGTGGAAAAAATATATCAGTTTCCATCGTTTGAGGTGGTTCAAGCATGGATCATGTACGACAGATGGTTTCTCAACAAGCCGGATTACATAGAGCTATTTACGAAATATTTTGAAGTGGTTGGATCAAAATGCAACAGCAATCCATGAAGTCATCAAGTGTCAGTTTTGGTCATGTAAAATATGTAGGTTGACTGGCTAGGGTCTCCGAAAAGTTAGGAATTCACATTTGAAGACTGTTTAGTCCCATTCAGATGCCTGTTTTGTGATGTTAGCCGTATGTCTTCTCAGAGTATTTTGAATCCATTACCATTTCCTTCTGAATTTTCGCCAATAACAGAATATTGGTCCGCCCACTGCCTTGCTGCTTATTCTTTCTATCCGGCCTTTTTATATTTAATAATGAGAGGATCGAATATTGATAAGATACTGGAGCGACCTATTGGAAGTGTCATAGGTGAACCATAAGGAAGCACTGACTAACTTGATATTGGTGTTGAAAATTCCAGTATGGTTTCTTCGCTGAACACTATGGATCGTCACACTGATTTCAGATTTATAAACGCCTGTCTTGCTCTTCTGATCCGATCCTAGCTCTGTCATCAATAATCTTGACGACTGTAATAGGCTGATCAGTTCATGTAGTTGAAGCAAAATATTTCTTCAAAATTTGTCCCATTTATGCCTGGTAGGCAAGGCTTGGTTGAATGGATCATAAGGATGATATTTATTACTTTAAGGGTGAGATAATCAGCTACATTATTTAATAATATTTAGAGATCATAAAAAAAAAGAAATTAACTCGAAGCCATTATCAATATACCATAAAGTGAATTGAAAACAATTAAATGTACTACTGACCGATATGTAAGTAGTTAAGAATCATTCACTTTAATTTTCAAATATTGGTTCGCAGGATTCTGATTAATTTCAAAATTCATCACGAACTGACTTCGTTTACAGAAACATTGAAAGACACGGAGTACTGGACAGCTGTTCCGCCCTTCTTTGGGACTCCTTAGTGCCACTCTATTCCAGGGGTCAAACCCAGGGCCACCAGGTTAAAAGATAAGAATGTGTCATTCAGACAATGAGACGGGATCCAATGGCCCATTAGCCTGTACTGCTGCCGACTCACGAACTAGTGCCTACTAGTGACTGACCACAGAATGAAGTTGCCTGAAGTTCTAGTGGAAATTTCTGATCAGAAGAGGACGAATACTCGCTGATGACATTGGCTGGCAGTCGCGTTATACATAGCAAACAGGCAGAAGTTAGAATTTATGGGACTCACTCCCAATACCCCGTTCCTATGTGAATTCGCTTTGTAACCTGAAGATTCTAGGTTCAATTGCCTGTGTGTGAGACTACGGGTGCGTACCAGTGAAGTAGCCCAAACTAGGACGAATCAAGTTCCCTATTACGCCCTGGTTTTCAAAGGTTCTCTTACTGACATTGATCGGTGACCGAACTCGAGGCCTAGAATTCATTTCACATTTCAACGTCATTAGAGACTAGAAATTATTACAGTAAATGGATTGGCTTACTTATCCCAATCATCGATAAAAGTTGTTTCAAATGCTTGATAATCTTCAGTGTGTACTTGAAACAATCCTTCTTCAATATTTAACCAAAACTGTATTTGTGGAGAACAAGTTGTTACTGGTGTACAAGGAGGAGGCTAAAATGAAAACAAAGGGGTCACTGTATAGAAAATGTAAATCATAGTTAAATGAAAATCCTTTGTTGAGAATTCCTTAAAAAAGGGACGGTAAAATCAATATTTATTCATTAGTTTTCCTCTTCTTTTGATTCCAATCCTACTTAATGACGCTTTGAAGTTTCTGTAAGGGTGGAGTGCCTTCGCACAGCTCCGTAGATCACATGATCAGCCAGAAAGGATAAACAACATTTAACTCTAGGAGTCAACAAACCAGCCAACAATCTGCTGTTCAGCAAATATCCAGAGGGAATTGGAGATCGATCAGATATCTCCTGAGGAGAAATTCACGTAACATTAAATACCAGGCTCTCAAGTGGGATGTGAATAGGAAGCGAAGATTCGGCCTTCCAAGTGTTATATGAAGGAGATGCTGTAGAAAATAAATGAAAGCTTGTAGGCGGTGATGGAGACAGATGAAGAAACGACGGCAGAGGACAGAAGAGATGTGCCGCTGAGACCATATGTTCCACTTAGAACAAAAGGAACAAGCAGTAGAATTAAGTGCTTACTTTTTGCCCCATTTGAGAATTATTGGTTAGATTTACTTGGTGATTTTGACTGTTGAAACTCGGTCTCAGAATAGATCATTTCAAACGCCAGTGCAATCCACTGAATCACTACACTCACCACAAGAGTCATCTCTTGAGATAAAAATAATAGTTGGTATTTGTTGAAATAATTACTGGGATTTCCGTGAACTAACTTTAGTGAACCGAAATGCTCGGTCTCTTCTGATGTTGCAGTGACTCTTTATATGTTTGACGTCATTCTGCAGTGTTCTTCTCTGCACCTGCCTAAAACAATCTTCAAGAATGGACTCCTTGACACAGCTATCTGCATGTCTTTTTTTCAACATTTCGTGGTAGTGATAAAAACAAGAAGTAAAAAGCATCGGGGTTAGCGAAAATTTCATTAGATGAGACTACGGATCTTCATTAACTAAAAGCTTAAACTGTGGAAGTGAACATTACATTGACTGGTCCATAGGATTTAACCGGTATCTTGTGTCTAGGCTTCAGTGTCGGTGCTGACTGAATTCTATCAGTCAACTTTTCAGAATGGTCACTAAGTGCTTTATCATCAATGCACACTTTAAGTCGATGTTAGTTGGTTGGTAGGATTACGGAGGAAGCTTTGTGCCTACGTTTCGTTCTTATCTTTCACTTGTCAACAGGATATATCTGCTATCTCGAAGAATCCAATGATACCTCAGGAACTCGAGGCGATATCACTTAGTGGTTTATTTAGGAATATTATCACTGAGTTATTCTCGTCGGCTAAGGACTGTACTGCAAAGAACCAGATAAATGACAGTTGTTACAACCAGGTAGCTAATCATTATGCTCAATCTTATGGTGACCTAATTTGGGATTAATTCAACAAATTAAATGAGTATTTACACACATACATAGACGAAAACTTACGCCAGCTTTCGACGATACTTGTCTCTTTGACAAATTTGGATTTTCTGTGATGAATACCTGAAATCAGAAAGTGAAACAGGAAAAACGAACATGCATCTATTTAGTCAACCACAGATCCTCAGTCTTAAAATATGAGTCCTATGTATACAGGAACTGTAAACTTACACAAAAAAAACAAATCAAGAAGTGAAAACTATTATCCAAATTTTCTATATATATATATATTCGTCCTTTGAGTTTCGAATGGAAAATAAAGCTTCAATAACACATCTTCATTACATAAATGTTCTCTGTTGCCTTTTTCTTCTATCTAGATTCACAATCGTTGACAAGCTGTCATTTACACCTCATATGATTTCCATAGTATTACTTTCAGAAATGTAGCCAAATCACTGCTTCCCATTCGCATTCCACTCGGCAGTCTGACGCGTGAATTCGCTCAGCGGTCTATGTGTGTGTCCAATCCATCTGCATTTCTTTCTACACATCCGATGCATAATGATTTCTCGGTTGGTTCGTTGCCAGAGTTTCTTGCTGCCCATCCTTTCTGAACATCAGATCTTCAGTACGATCTAGCCAAGGCCTTTATTAATGAAAGTCTACAGTGGCATGTTGGTAAAGCTTTCTGTGACTCGTCATCTCCTTGAAGCTATAGAAGCTGTCCATCGAGAATGCTATGGAGTATTCGAGTTATAATCCCTGTGATGGTCTCTGTACAGAGTAATGAAGGTCTCATTAATGCATTTAGTGAAGATTTTAATTGCTTTCCTGATGTTGTCATTCACATTCTCACTTGTGCCTCCTCTAGATGAACGAAACTGCGAAGTTAGGGAAGACAGTCAATGTTTTCAAGTTTTCCTCCGTTGATTGTAACCGGTGCTTTGTATGACTGGTTAGGTATCTTCATCACCTCTGTATTCTCAATGTTCACTTGTAGCCCTATCTTTCCTGCTCCTTCTGTCAAATTACTGGCTTTCGCCTACAGATCTAGTTTGTCCGAGAAGTCCAAGTCTTCTAAGACCTCCTTGTTGGCACAAAGAATTTCTACCTTCTCACACCCTACGGTCTGTCACATTATCAAGTCCACTACAATCAGGAATATCATTTGTGATAGTGGACAGCCTTGTCTAACTCTTGTGTTCACGTCACTGAGTTTTCCGTTATGGGTCACTTGACGCCTGGCATTGTCATATAGTGTTGAATGATGTTGAGGAAGATTTGGGGTACTACGGAGTTTTGAAGCGGTCTCAGAATTACTTCACGGTCAACGCTGTCGAAGGTCTCCTCAAAGTCGATGGGTTCGAGGTAAGGATTTGACTGCCACTCTGTGCTCTGCTCTATGATGATGCGCAGCATTGCAAATCGGTTCCCAGATGATTTGGCTTTCTTGAGTCCAGGCTATTCTGAGAATGAGTTCTGCATCGACTGCATGTTTAAGTCTCCCCAGGATGACGTGACTCTGAGTTCTCATAAAGTCTTAAGTCTCTGTCTTTTGGCATGTTGATAAGGTAGTTCTCCTTCCAATCAGTACGTGGTTTTCCTTCTAAATCATTCGCGACAGTGGTGTGAACATGTCCACTGCGATACCTAGATCCGTCCTCAGCGCTTGTGAGGGAATTTCGCCTTCTAGTGCTTACTTCCGGGTTTATAGTAACTTTAAGGCATTCAAGGCATCTAATTTTGTTGGGAATACAAAACAATCTAAATGATTATGTCCTCGACTGATTAACCTTCGAAATTATTTTCCATGGGTTAATGAAAGGAAATATTTACATAATATGATGGATTTCAGTAACTTACAGATTCAGCATTATTTCTTTGTCCCTTGCGAATTTCACGTGAATTCATCACCATATCTGGTGATACTTTCCTCATTACAACTGGTTTCACTAATTCAGTAGTTTTATGAGTAGGCTCATAAACTGGGCATAAATCTAGTTTCATAATTAGAAAATACACAAATGAAATAAAATAAATATGAAAAATATTATTGGAAATACTTTCACAAGAGAAAAGAGTGAAAATTCACTGAATCTGGTGTCCTAAAATCCCCTCAAAGCTGCCATAATGTTAATGAGTTGACGATATCTAGAAGAGGAATACAAAATGCTCATTTCGTTCCATTTGGAGCTCATCATCTGGATACACCTCTGCTCTCAGTGACCGTTGGTGTTCCTACCAATAACCTAGCCCAGCACCCATTGTTTCAAACGCTAATGCATTATCCAATAGGCCGGTGGGTTGAGACAGCCGCGTCTTGTGAAGCGAATGTTGGTTGCTGCTTGTTGAAGTTAATTTGTATTTCCGATCGATTGACTCATGATGAACCAAAATACTTGGTTTGTCTTGATATGTCTACACTTGTGATTTCAGTGGCCCAGTTAACAACTCTTGGTGTTTCAAATGACAGGTGGTGGAATCAAGTCTTAGTGCGAATACAAGCACATCCAGGTGACAAACGCATTCTGGGTTCCACTGACAATCACCATCAGCTAAATAAAAGTATGATAATATTCAGCCATCTTTGGAGTATCCGAACTAAAAGGCAGTATGTCAGCGCTGAGACCAAGCATTCCAGTCCAGCATAATCAGTCAACGATAAACACCAATAACCTAGACCTTGTATATTAAATCAAGGTTGGTAAGTTCATTTCAAGACTAGTGGATTCCCAGTACTTCATTTTAAAGTTACAGTTGTAGACTGTGTGTGGAAAACCAGTCACAGGTTAGACAGTAAACCATCCGGATGAAAAAACGCTAGACCAATGTGAATGTTTATGACTTCCCGGCTGACCACACTATGAAAGTTGATTTCTTCTTAAAATATGAGAGACGCAAAGAGCATTAGCGTTGCGTGGCCACAGAGCTAAGAGGGGGAGGTCACACACGGCCTATTTCAAGTGACTTCTAGAATTGTGCTTGTGTGAATATCCTACTACTGACTACGAACCGGCACAGGGTTAGTCAAGAAGCACACTTTTTGCGTCAACTTCGTCTCATTCCTCCCATTATTAAAGCAGAGAGACAACATAGCTGACTTGTTAGTCTTCGGAGGAAAATGACTTAATACTGTCACTACTCGCCAACAGACTTCTTCGCCCTTAACTTGGTATAGTCAAATTACATTATGATGGTAACTCCTTTTAGTTCAACCACTATCCAAACACCCTTTTCGGGCATGCTAGAATCTGAAGAAACACTGATTCCACTCAATATAACTTGTTGGATCATTTCGATATTCAAGCCGGACCATCATTTCAAGTCAACAGCTATTACAGGTAAATACTAACATTGGGAACAACGAAAACTAAACTCTCTTTTTATGTACATATATGTATAAAATAAATAAATAAATTACCATTAATAGTAATCGGTAAACGTGTGATCTTCTGTTGACTTGTTAGCAGGATATTCATTGGTTTTGTCTGTATTGGTGAAGGATCGAAGGCAATCTGTGCATTTGGTGGAATTAGACCACGTTGAATTAAATTCAGAGCATTGCAATTCTCGTTTATTTCATCATATTGTATAAGCTGAAATCGATATTTAACAGTGAAGAATAAATTATTGATATTGCAAATTGGTAAAAGTTAGAATTCAAGGACCTGCTGGCTGAATGGTGAACTAGCTCGTCTCGCAACCTGAAAGTCCTAGGTTCAATAGTCTGTGTGTGTGGAGTCATGGAAGCAGCTTGCTGATGAACCTCAAAATTAGTTTTCAATTGTTCTCTAACTTTGACGTCAGTTTGTAAACTAACTTGAAAGAGTTTTTTTAGCTTGATGAGGTTGTGTTAAGTCAATGAAATACTGACTGAAGGTGACCGGTAGTTTCAAGTGATACGCTGAGTTTATTTCAGATAAAATGACTGTCTTATCAACGTAAAACTTTACGAAAACAGGTTTTATTTCAAATATTCACAATTTGTAATAACACACAAAAAGTTAGCGACAAAAAATGTAATTTACCTATATTGAATTGTGAAAGATGATAAAAACTGAACATATCAGCGCCACAGTGAAATATTTTTAACCCATGTCTGTTAACCTTCTCAATCATTGATCCTCCATCTCAACCAGACACTCTAAACTTCCTTATATGTTTTAGACTACTAGTCACTTTCCAGCTTAAGTCGACTTCAACCAGCGTTTCTGATCAAGGAAGGCAGTGGTCAGGCCTTCTTCGCACATGTTCTAGTCAGCTTGGTCGATACAACTTCAAAACTTCATTGATTATCTTCCTTTCCTCACCTGTGTCACAATGCCTAACATGAGTAGGACGACATAATTTTGCATATGCATAAGTCTTTCATCATATCTTCAGCTGTGATTACCCACTTGAAAACGACTTTTCACTAAGATTTCATGCAGTAAAATAGCTTTCAGCTTACTATTAACTCAAAACACTAATATTTGATAATGCTAGGCGAATGAGGCTTTAGCTTGACATGCGTAACATCTGTCCAAAGGCATCTTAATTGGTGTAGCTTCACAACCTCATTAGTTGACTTCTTCGGTCAACCTAAAGCTCTACTCCTAACCTCAATGCTACCCACCGTACTATGCCATTTAACACTTCCGAAGTGCATCACTGTGAAGTCAAATTGATTCAGTCTAATTAGTTAAATAAGCTATACAGCCTATGAACTCTAGTGCGAGGGAAGATACTCACCGATCAAATTGGTTGGCGATAACATTATATATCGCGCAATGACAAGAATTTGGATTTATGAGCCATTAGATTAAGTCCTTACCTTGTAACTTGAAGCTCTTATTGTCTATCCTTACTAGGATAGTGGGTGCACACCTCTGAAGAGCTAACAACTACGGCGATACAACTATACCCAGTACTAGTTGATGCCATAATAGAGGCAGATTCATGATGAAATCTACCAATGAAAATTTAAATATATTTTAAAAAAGACTGTTCACTCACTTTTAAATGTTTTTTCTTTTTTCTAACTGTTTTTAATTGCAAATCTGTTTGATCCGTAGCTTCTTTATTTTTTTTCTTATACTCAGTAAGAAAATAAACAGTAAAGGATAAAATATTAACTTGACTAAATTGTTCTTTTAGAAGTATTCAAAAAATGAGGGGGAAAATCAATAAACTATGCTAATGAAGTATTCGTCTAAGCAATATAATCTCTACTCATGAGATCAATTCACCAGTTAATAATTTTGTGATAAATGTGTCACTGAATAATTAAAATACTTAATATTCAGTTACACGATCCTCAGTTCAGACGCCACTTCGCCTAATAGGATTTCAACAAGTGAGTTTCACATATATTATCTGAATCATAGCCTAATTTGCATTCGCAATTTACACAATTCCATTGGAAAAAGAAACTGAAATTAATCAAATCATAATATGTCTCCCCACAACAATTCAAGAAGTTGTCGTTTAAATTTGAATGATAATCCAAAGAATTCAGATATTTTAACTGGTATTAAGAATTAAAAGTGATAGCTTCCAATACATGCGCTAGTTTTTCAATTACAAAAGTTATCCTCTAAACTGATATCTTAGCATAAAACACTTTTAGTCAGTTTCTGTTAAATAAAGACAATTCATCTTTTTCCCTGAATACTAATATGATTTCAGCTAGATATGAAATTCAAGTACCTGGTACTTATTTAGGACGAAAGTATATTATTATTATTGTTTCCTTTAATTCCTAGAGGAACATAAGGCTTCAACCGCGCGTCTCCATTGCGTTCGGTTCTCTGCTAGAGTCTTCACCTGGCTCCAAGTCTGCCTACACGCTTTCATCTCCTCTTCACATGACCTCCTCCAAGTCACCCTTGCACTGACGACCAACTCGCCGCTTCCCCTTCGGGTTCCACTCGAGCAATGGCTTGTCTAGTGATGTCACTTGATGGTTTCCTCAGAGTATGGCCAACCAATCTCCATTTCTTCCTGCCTATTTGTTGCACAATCGGTTCCTGGTTGGTTCGCTCCCAGAGATCCCTGTTGCTGATCTTTTCTGGCCGGCCATCTGATCTTGAGTATTGAGCGAAGACAACTGTTAATGAAGGTCTGTAGTTTGTTTGAGATGCTCTTTATGACGCGCAGTGCAAGTCTCTGATCCGTATAGTAGCACTGACTGACTTAACATTGGAGTTGAAAATCCGGATCTTATTTTTCCTGCTGAGTGCTGTTGACCTCCACACAGACTTGAGAGTAGTGAAAGCTTGTCTTGCTTTTCCGATCCTTGCTTTGATATCCTCGTCAGTTCCGCCTGCAGTTGAAACGATGCTTCCCAGGTAGGTAAAAGAGGTTGTTTCTTTCAGGTTCCTCCCATTTATGCTGATTGTTGTCTGTTGTTGTTGTTCTTGTCCATGAATCTTCATCACCTCTGTTTTCTCTATGTTCACCTGAAGTCCTATCTGTGATGCTTCTTCTGCCAACTTGTTGCTTTTCGCTTGCATATATTCCAGTTTGTGAGAAATCAGACATATATCATCGGCGAAGTCCAGATCCTCCAAGTTTCTTGTGTGAGTCCATTTTATGCCTGTTTCCTCATTGCCCGCTGTTTGTCGCATTATCCAATCTACTGCGATCAGGAAAATCATTGGCGAAAGTAGACAGCCTTGTCTTACTCCTGTCCTCACTTCGAAGGATTCCGTAAGTTTCCCATTGTGGATTACTTGGCATGCAGCATTGTCGTACAACTGTTGGATGAGATGTATTATTGTCGGCGGCACCCCGTAGTAGCGAAGTAGTTGCCAAATCACCTCTCGATCGACGCTGTCGAAATTCGGTCTATACTAATACGCCTGAATGAACCGCGCTTTTCGATTCCTACGTTACATTAACATAGTTACATAAAACTCTTATTTTTGTGAAATATCTTGCCAAAATGTTGCAAAAAACTATTGCAATTATTTGTATTTCAAACACTGAATCTTTGGATATAATATTGTAGATCGATAATACCTATAACTATCTATTTGCCACTCTGTGCTTGTTTAACACTAACTAATATCTGTAATTTTGTGAAGGACGAAAGTACTTTGAACAAAATGATGCGGTCATCATGGGTAATACCTAACCGTCATGTGAACGAATGATACATTTTGATGTGGTTGTTTTCTCTGAGCTGGGTGACTTAACTGCAAAGCTTTCATTGTCTTTCTAGACAACAGATTCTCCACCAATGATATAATTGTATCCCTTAACAGTCTTTGTCGTGATTGGTTGTTAATTTACATTCTAATCGTCAAGTTTTAAAAATCTTGTGAACAACTCATGACTAATCAAGTGTAACAGACGAGTAAAACAACCTTTAAACTCAAAGGAGACAACGAAATTCTATTTGTGATCCTTCATATTTTGAAGTCAACTAAAGCAATGTTGGCACAAAGATATAACTACAATTTTCTCTCTACTCTAGCTACTGTACGAAAAGATTGATAGATCTATAAGTGTAGTAGAGCCTGATTGGTAGAATGTGATACAACCGTTAATATACTTGGTAGTTGCGCTAATGAATTTCCTACCTAGTCGATTCTTTGCGCACCTACTGTTCTAACCACTACCAGCAACAACAGTGACAACAACAAGATACGATACCACCGAAACCGCGACGCAAGGAAACAAGAAGAGAAGACAGACCGTTGACGCAGAGAGCATTTACTGCCTCGTATCAACAGTGAAAATGGTTGACAGCACATGAGTATATAAATATATATATATATATATGCTTTAAACGAAATTGAGAGACACCAGTTACATTGATAAATTAAAACAGTCAACAACCAATAGGATTCCAAGGTCGCAAGTGAGGAAAACAGTCAGCAATGTAAAGATAAATGTAGCAGTTTAGGAAAATTAGGTCTATATAACAGAATGCCCGCCAGCCATATGAGAGGTTCGGGTTGTATTCCCGGCTGACGCACTTCTAAGTCTTGCCTAGTCGGTAGTAAGCCCAGCAGAGAGGTAAGGTGGAGAAAGTGAGGCTAGCTACCACAACTCGCATAAACGACATCAACACCACGGAAACTTCAAAACGTGAAGCTTGAATGAAGCCTTATATTCCACTCGGATCTGGAAGAGTGAAAAAGGCAAAACCTAAGGAAGACGTTATTGAAAACAACTGTTGCCACTCAAATCTTTTTTATCTTTTATTGTGCCTTTTCATATCATTAAAAATAATTACAACAAAAATTGATTGAATACAAGTGAAAAAATCACTGCAGTGATGTACTTTCTTTCCGTCAAGGTCAACTGTGTACCACCTGTGTCTTAATCAAGGTTATAAGATATAAATAGTTACATTGAACTATTGTTGCTTTTTCTCAAACTATACAACAGATTTTCAGTGAAAATTTATGTTGTCTCCTACTTATTATTGTTATTTTATTAATGTTTATAAATAAAGATTGTTTATTCACGTAAATTCTTATACTATCAGTATTATTATTCATCCCTTGGATTCTGAGTGGTGCACTGGGCTTCAGCAGCACACTGTCATTTCACTCTGTTCTCTGTCGTCTCTTTTAAGTGGATCCACGGCTTTCATTTCCTCATCACGTGATCCCCTCCATATCACTATCAGAAAAGCATCTGACCCATCACTTCACTGCCAGGTATGTGCTGTCACACAGCGGTCTCCTCATTGTATGCCTAATCCATCACTGTTTCCTTCCGCACATTTGTTGGGCGACAGGTTGTCAGCTGATTCACTGCCTCCCAGAGTTCCCTCTTGTCTGTCCTTTCTGGCTTCCTCATCTTGATTGACAAAAGAAGGCAGTCATTGATGAAAGTTTGCAGTAGTCTGTTGGTACTGATTTTAGTGACACTCACAGTAAGTCTGTGAACTTTATAGAAGCTGTGACGTGAAATTAGTGTTGAAAGTTCAGATACTGTTCCTTGTTGTAAGTACTGCAGACCTCTAGACTGCCCCCACAGTAATGAACACCTGTCCAGCTTACTATGAAAAATACTCATGTGATACATTTCAATAATGGCTGTCGGAATGAGAAATTAGACGAATCAGTAGCTCAATGCTTGAGCATCTTGTTCATACTCAGCATTGTACACCAATAAACACATTTTTCGAAGTGATACACAAAGGTAAGGCCAAGTCTTTCAAAGAGTTTCCGATCACATCCTGTGTCAACAAAAGAAGCTCTTGCTATACACAAGAAAAACCATGAACTGCGTATGCAGAAGCGATGTGTCCAGTTCCTTATACTATTGTGGCCTTAAACCTTTTTCTGACTTGTACAATAATTTCGTGCATATTCATTCTTTTTTCTCTTCTTTTCCCTTTTCAAACTTCTTAATTTAAAATATACTTTATAAATATTCTGAATCTCTAACTTTCATGAATAATATTCTTTTTTTAAGTATATACAGTTCCATTGATGATGACTTCTGAAGGCTTTTCAAAACTTAGTGTTTTTAGGTTATGTAAGACTATTCAGTCAGATTTCCCAATTCACCCACCTTTTCCTCCTAATATGTAATTTCTTATGTTTCATTACCAGTTGATAATAACTGACCTTACTGGCACATCCTTGAACCCATAAGAACACTATTTAACTGTACAATTTTGATAAGAAGTTACATAGTGAATATTCTTTGCTAACCTATACTTTTTATGCTGTAAAATATTTGATGATAAATAAACCAGAAGAAATATTTTTGAAAAGTTGTTCACTGTTAAAGTAAAAATAATATTATTTTTACTAACAACAAGGAATCATGACGTCTTACAGTGATGATACTTTCCAGTTACTTTGTCATGAACCGATACACATTAATTAGAGAATCACTGAAAACCATGAAGCATTGAACAGATTACCTTTTCCTAGTTTGTAGCCTTGGAGCAGTGTTTCCTTACAATGCCAGTAAGAAATGGGAATGGACCTTCTGACTACAAAGTGAATGCTTTATCATTCAGCTATTTGATTCATGAATCCTAACTTTTATGAGTTCACGATATGGCACGACCACTACTCATTTTGATAACTCAGTATCTCTTTTCAAAAATTGTGGTGAGAGCTGGCTGCTAGCCAAAGTTGGTAGACAGTAATTGACGTCAATGTTTATGTCCCTAATATTGGTGGTGAGAAAATGAGAACAAAGGCTTTGCGTAGGCGGATACAGTTAGCATATAGATGATCTGACACAGCCACAAAGAGATGCAAGGTTAACTTTCTGTGAGAAACAACCAATCAAAAGACTGCATTTTCTACTAACAATAATCTACAATAATGTACATTAAAATCTATAAATACGTGTTGATTTCCCTTAATAAACGATCTGTTGCCTGACTCTTGCCTTCTGTAGTTACAAAATAACTTGGTGGAGCCTATCAATCACAACTTGCCATTAAAAATCAGCAAGTTCATCCTACAGTCACTCACTAGTGAACATTGGATTCTTTTCCTACTGTCAGTTTGAAAGGATTTGATTGACTTCGAAGCAGATTTTCCCACTAATCTACATCAGTTAGATAACAATTGAAAACCTAAGAGCACTAGACAGATATTCCATCCTAGTCCAAAACCGATGACCCAACTAGGGATTGAAACTAAGGTGTATAGATAAGGAGACTAGCCAATAGATAGGAACTCAAAGGCCAATAAACACATTATTATTATCATTATTATTACTACTCAGTTACAAAGCTAACAATATGCCTTGTTTAGAGATTCGGGATTTCAATAACTTCTTAATTGACAGCATCCAAAATTCACATAAAAGTTTATCTGTTTGACTTGTCCTATTCCAGAATTTGATATACATACACACACAGAAATTATGGGACGAAAATACGCATATGTTGTAGAGAATAATTAGATGATCAAAACGATATTTTAAATTATTTTACTATTTCAAGTTATATGATGAACTGCCATCAGTCAGAGAACACCCGATAACCAGGTAGTGGTGCATGACTGCTTCGTTCTAGTCTGGGACTCTTCGGCAATACGAACCTATGACCTCATCAGGGTCGAATCCAGGAACTTTGGGTTGGAAGGCGGCCCCATTGACCATTCGAACACTGGGACGAAATCCAACTCCCAACAAACCAATACCTGAAAATCAATCCACAGCTCATCAGCTACCAACTACGTGATGAATTTCCTGGAGTTTTGACCAGAAGTCATGACCAGTTGGGTACACGGAGTCTCGTGTGACAACAGATATGCTTCAATGAAAGTAAACAGCAATGGAGATTTATTGCTAATTGACAGAAGTTAGAATTATTAATGTGTGATTCGAAACCGTCCCCGTAAATGAGTGGTAACTTGCTCATCTCATAACCCAAATATCCTAGGTTCGATGTTCCGTAGTGGGTCATGAATGCGTACTGCTGGGAAGTCGCAAAATGGAACGAAACAGCTCGTGATCTAAAATGGTGATACCTAAAAAGTGTTGCGTAATTTTAAAACTTTTTAGCTTTACTATTTTCCTTTTTCTTAAATGAATTACTTTCATTAGTAAAAGCAAAATTCTCTTACTTCATTTTCATCAACACGTAATTGTTGTATTGTAGGCAGTTGTATTCCATAGGCATTTTGAACTGTTTCCCGATTGAATGGATGATTTGGATCACTTAGAACTTTTAAAGCATTTTCTAATTTAAACTGAAATAATTAAAGGAACAAAAAATTTTAAGGGGGGGGGCAGGGGAAGAGAACATTAATTTATACAATGTAATATAAAAGTAAGGAAATTGTGTTCAGATTATTCCACGATAATTTTTTATTGGACGACACTTCAAACGCAATTTATTTCTTATAATCATATCAGTTATAACTACATACCTTCGAATCTAGTTTTTATAGCTCCTCTTCTCCCTTAACATTTGTCGTAAGGGTTGTAGAACTTTCCGGATGTCCGCGTAAGGTGTTGAATCATTCCTGTCGCATGTATTGTCAATTAATTCGACAAATAAAGCTTCAATTATCAATCAGTCCCTTCGCCCAATTATATTAGATTTAAAAGACTGCCATTTTATTTCATCCTCTTGTATGGCAGTGTGTAACTGCATGCATATAGTGATATAGCTAAGCATTTTTCTATATCTCTTATCTTATTGCGGTCTGCTAGTTTAGATTTCCCTAATATTTTCTACGACCATAATCTAAAAGTAGTGGGCCACTTACATTACTTCTATTAGCGAGGCGCAAATACGCGGCGCAATCTATGGGACTACATAACACCAAAATACCTAAGTTTTATACATGTTTTAAGATTTGTCTCGCTAATTTAATCCATTATCCCATGGGGATCCTCAGTTAGGATTCAGTTGGCTTAGAAAAGACGTTAGAAGCAACAGGTATTGGGGGGACACATACTGAGTGTGGAGAGCTGGCACTACCCAGTTATCCTGGCTAAAGTAGGTGGGGTCAGACTAGAAATCCAGACCCAATGACTGAAAGTCAACTGATTAAACCTTTGAATCCCATCTCCATTACAGAAGTCATCAAGATGCTGTGAATCCATAATTGAAGTTTGTTGGTAATATAACTCAAGAGCTTTCTCAGTGGCGTAGATGTATCCATATTAGTTTGTTTATTAGATGTATCACACAGTGAAACAATATTATTTACTGGATGACGTTTCGAACAGAATTTATTGTTCATAATCATATCAATTGATATAATTGATTGATATGATTATGAACAATAAATTCTGTTCGAAATGTCATCCAGTAAATAATATTGTTTCACTGTGTGATACATCTAGTAAACAAACTAATATGGAATTAATTACTACCACAGTGCCCAAGTTTTACACATGTAGATGTAATCAATTCTTATGAATTTCCAAATTTTGAAATTCCTCATTAATCTTGATGCGATTATTCTCCCTATCAAAACATCTTCGTCTATTCTAGCTTCATTAAATTTCTTTTCTGTGTCCTTATGTGTGCACTTTTTTGAAGTGTAACAGCTGTGAACTGATGCACTCTTATGCATAGTTGTACACAGATAGTTCACTTTACTTTAATTCATGTGATAACTGAAGGTGAAACGAAAACGTCAAGCCATAAATGAAAAGGATAACAGTGAGGAATATTTTCTTTTCGATAAATCATTTTCAAAGAGAATGAAAACACCTTTATTTTCAATTCAGAAATGAAAATACTACTCTGTAATTACAGTAAATTGCTTGTATATGTAGAGAGGATGTTAAGAGTCTCAAATTACCACCGACTCATTTATGTATAAGTGGTACTGCAGAACTTAGTGAAGCAATTCGAAACAATTATCCGGAGCGGTAAGATTACAAGATGTATCCATACAATGATCATGTATACAATGAAAGTTGGTTTCATCACATAAAAAAGTAAACAAACGACCTCACATTCTGCTAAATGTGCTGAGAGACTAACACGTTGACCAAGCCTCTTATCACTAAAAGTTTCACTGAACTTTTGAGTGAGTGAGTCAGATTTAAATGTTCATCAATAAATGTAACAATAGTTGGGCTTTAGGTACTCGGAGGTGATCGGTAAAAATCCTTGAATTTAAATTTCTTACTTACCGACACTCGTCAGAAAGACCTATCGACAAATTTATGGAAACTAATACTTCCCCAGACATTCGAAACCCTGTAGTTCAGTGCTACTGTCAGAGACGTTACCACTGAAGTACTTATTAATAATCTATTTTTAAACACTGTCAGTTACAGATAGAAGACTAGTTAGAACCCTTGATATTAAGATCAAGAATTCCACTTCATAATTAATTTTTATTAAATCACGCTCATATCAAGCTAATCTTTATTACTTTTTTTCATTCTTTTCCATTCCGCGCACAACATAGGGCCTCAACATTCTAATTTTCAGTAGCTGTAGTGTTGTTTTTCATGCGGTAGATGTGCTAGCCTCACGGCCAACCTTCCCTATTTTACAGTGTCTAACTATCTGGTTACTAAACTACTTAAAGTTAAGAAGTGAGTCGGTTGGAATTCGAAGCTCAGCAACGTGTGCGGCTGACAGGCATTCTACCATTGAGCCATTGATAAATAAAGTACAAAATATAACAATTACTTTGTATATCCTGTTTGATATATCGATTAACTTTTTAAAAGTCAGCGTTTTTATTTTACCTTTTCACCAGGACTCAGATGTTTAAGTGGATAAAGATCAATAGCATTGACTGGATTACTACTGTGAATATTGAAATCTCTATTTAAAAAGAAAAGAAAAGAATATTCACATAAAACACTTGAAACATTCTCAATATAGATTTTATCACACATTGAAATCAGTTACAGAACTAGTTAAAACCATGAAGTACTGAGCAGATGTTTCGTCCTAGTTTAGTACCCCTCAGCAAAAGACACGCGCACAATCCAACCGGAGATCCAAACCAGGATTTTAAGGTTATGGGGCCAGCACGTTACTATTTAAACATACTGTGTCAGAATCCTATGGTTTGCTGTGGATAAAAGGTAACCATGTGGTGCTGTACATGATGACACTGTATGCCATTCTGATCTCGCACAAGGCTGAGACGAATAATTTGTTCTCCTGACAAGCAATGCAAATTCATCCAGATAACCTTTTAATTTCAGCAAATTAGGAAGTTTGGAATACAATTGATTTTCATCCAGTAGCTGAATGGTAAACTGTTCGTCCTGAAGGGTGTAGGTCCCGGGTTCTATGCCTAATGAGATCACATGTGAGTACTGCTGAAAACTGCCAAACTATGGATGAAACAGTTATTCAGTACATCTGAAAAAGAATGATCTAAAACTAAAGAATAATAAGGGCGTCAGTTTAAGTTTTTCATTGTCACCACGGTGTAGAACCTGCAACTAGGGCAAACAAATTCACACATCTTTGAAAAATATAGACGACATGAGAATGTATCAGTCAAAGATAAATTTTGTACAGAAGTCAAAAAGAAGAAAATTTTCGAAGATGACGAAACCTTACCTACTTGTGTGCCATTATAAACAGATGTGGAAGTTGATTACGTATACTCTTAAACTTTAAAGTCCATAATCTGGTAACACATATTATTGCACTTTGTCTACACTGATTTTCCTTCTTGCATCCTGATTCTACTTCAGCCAGAATCATAGATGATCTTAAACACTAAGTCCATGTTTGCAAACCATTCTAAAGAGATCTCATTTAAAGCAACGTCAAGAATCAATTGATTAAAATTCAACTTTTTTCCTATTAACACTCATAATTGCCAACTCTGTCCTACTGAATACGAATAAAGAAGTACAGTTCAATGGATTCACTGATTATCATATCTAAATATTAAATGTGTGTTACAAGGACAACCAAATAAAGAAGGGAAGAAGAGCAAGAGGAAAGACAAAAGACAACTATGCGACATACTAAAATCCTGAACAGAAAGGGCCGTAAATAAGAGCAACTTAGAGTCACGACACCAGATAGCCAGCTCCCTCCTTGTGAAGAGATCAAGACAGATGGGACCTATGAAACATAGTGAAGTAAAACTAATTACCAAAGAGGAGAAGCGAAGGAAACAATTAACTGATCACATCAAAAGACTCCTAAACCAATAAACCCCCACAAACAGGCAAGAATTACCCCCCAACGGTCACAGAACTGCCAGTAAACATCAAAATTAGATAACTTGAACGCCACGAAGCTAACATAAGCCCGGAAGTAAGCACTAAAAGGCAAAATTCCCTCACAAGCCCTGAGGACGGATATAGGTATCGCAGTGGACATGTTCACACCACTGTCATGAATGATTTAGAAGGAAAACCACGTACTGATTGGAAGGAGAACTACCTTATCAACACACCAAAAGACAGAGACTTAAGACTTTACGAGAACTGACTCAGAGTCATCTACACCACACACATTAATAAGTCACGTCATCCTGAAGAGACTAAAACATGCAGTCGATGCAGAACTCATTCTCAGAATGGCCTGGACTCAAGAAAGCCAAATCATCTGGGAACCGATTTGCAATGCTGCGCATCATCATCGGGTTGAGCACAGGGTGGCAGTCAAATCCCTACCTCGAACCCATCGACTCTGAGGAGACCTTCGACGGCGTTGACCGTAAAGTAATTCTGAGACCACTTCAAAACTCCGTAGTACCCCAAATCTTCCTCAACATCATTCAACAGCTATATGACAAGTGACCCATAACGGAAAACTCAGTGACGTGAACACAAGAGTTAGACAAGGCTGTCCACTATCACAAATGATATTCCTGATTGTAGTGGACTTGATGATGTGACAGAACGTATTAACATTATATTTTTATTGTTTCCTTTAGTTCCTAGAGTAACATAGGGTTTCAGCCACACGTCTCCATTACCCTCGGCTCTCTGCCAACGTTTTCACCTGGCTCCACGTCTACCCACATGCTTTCATCTCCTCTTCACATGACCTCCTCCATGTCACCGTCGGACGATCAACTCGCCTCTGGAGAGTGGAATTACTACTGATGATTCCATACAAGGAAGGAACCTGGGAAACCTTAAGCAGAATTCTTAACAAGGCAGGAATAAAAGTGGCTGGCATTAAAACCCACAAACTCAATTAGAAACAAGCTTTGTCGGTTAAAGGATCCTGTGGAGCCTTTAAAACAAAACAATTTAGTTTATCTAGTACCCTGCTGGAACGATTTTCAGGTCAAATACATAGGTGAAAGTAGTGGAACAGGAGCAGTCAGTCAGACTAGCCGAACATAAAAACCTAGCAAAATCTAGATTAATTGACCCGAATAAGATAAGAAATCTAAAGAATAGTTCAGCTATAGCACTACAGGCAATTATGCACAACCATACAATAGGGTGGGATAGGATGACAGTTTTAAAATCTAATGTCACAGGGTATTGGGAGGGATTGATAACAGAAGCTTTGTTTATCGAATCAACTGCAAATACGTGTAATGGGAATGATTCAACACCTGTCCCAGATATCTGGAAAATTCTAATACCCCTACGACAGATAGGAGAGAACAAAAAAAAACTATAAAACTCAAGTTTCGAAGTCGTGTGATTATAATTGACATGATTATGGACATTAAATTCTGTTCTGTCATCCAGTAAATAATACTGTTTCACTGTGTGATACATCTAATAAACAAACTAATATGGAATGGTATCAAGTAGGTCAAATTTTGTGATGTAAATAAGATTGATACGCTGCGAATTATTACCGTGTATCTCAATCAGTGGAAATAATGACGTCTCTCTAGTGACTAACTAAAATTTTATGATGCTGAAGAATGTGAAATATTCCGCAACAAGTGTAGGCTGATTAAAGTAGAATATAAAAGTAGATCGATTCAGCTTGTCACATTCACAATAAAACGGAGAGGGGAAATTAATGTAACTGCAAGAGGACTTGACTTTATAGCGTTAGAAAATAACATGTGGAAAATGACAGACATTTCAATGTTCAGAGAGATGTTTTTTGAGTCTTTAGAACAACAAAATGTGACACTTGAAATAGAGAAAATATCAAACCTCTTCCTGTAGCATATTAAAAAATAAATTTATTTTAGTCCAAATCACTAGCAGTCTTTAAAATATTTTGAGAAATAATTCTTGGGTAAACCTATGATACAACAGTACAATTCTGAAAGTCATACCACGAAAATCTACCCTCATGGGAAAGAAAAGTCAAAACGTTTGTAATGTCATTTCGCTAACAACTTGTCTTGAAACAGACATTCAAACAAAGTAACAGGGTTTCAGTAAGTGGTCTCATCGAAATGTTAAACTTCCATCCTACCCCCTCAAGAACCCCAGCCGAACAGTCTATACCTACTAACGTAGCTGAAACAAAATGCCAGAGACTTCATGCATCTATAGTATGTTGTTCTTTGACCAAAATCACTGTCAGAAACTGTGACGACTAGGCATGAGTAACACATTTCCTAGTCATCTTTAACGATGGAGCTTCATGATTTAGTCGATTAGTTTTCCCTCCTTACATATATACATATGCGTATATATATATACATATATATCAGTTGCTGTCTCATGATTCAAGTATATTCGTATGTCATTACCAAGTATATCCAAAATCCTTTCATTGAGCTAGTGTAAGTCATATTGATTCACTTTGGTTCGTTCATTGGTTGTGCGGTAAAAGCCCCTGATTTTCGGCTAAATTCTTTGCAGTTTGTCCAGCACGTGCCTGCTGTAACCTTGGTCAACTACAAGTGGGATCTTTTGGAGGTTGGTTATATGTGGTTTGCAGAATGCAGTATGTTAATATCGTGCAGTTATTGTGAACGAACTAATCATTTCAGTGAATGCCCTACCTAAAGGTCACTGACAAAACACAAAAACATTTTCAATTTTCGAATGGGCTTGTTATAGCTGTACAAAGGTTCATGGTCCTGTTCTACTATACAGTATAAAAAGTTACCACCTTGATTCACTGAAGCTTTTTAAAACTTAAATTGGGGTTTAATTAAGATTTCAAAAATACATAAGGCTGATTAATGAACAAAGAATATTCCTTTTGACAAATTTATCGTCAGGCTCTCTCTGTCAATATATATATATATATTGACAGAAATCTGTCGATACTGTTCATTTAATGTAATCAGAAACAATAGTGTTTTTAATGTCAATATTTTTTACATTATTGCCATTGCATATATGTAGAAGCTGATGAAGAATTATAGAGAAAGGAATATTCTTTGCTCAATAGCCAGCTTTTTAAAATTATCATAAGAAAATAAAGTGAGTTATTCGCCTCATTTGATCCTTAGAAGCGAAGATTTACAGAATGATAAGATAGATAATACCAACTTGATATCAACTAACATTTGTTCATTAGTATTTGTTTGAAGAGAAACTTTTGGACGCTGAGCAAGCAAACCTCGCTCATCAGACTTATAGATGTCACTTGAGTAGTCGAATGAAGAGCAAAACTCCTGTGTCGTTTTAAGAGCGATTTCATGAGATAAGTTCTGAATTAGGAATGTGAAAAGAAAAATATTACTTTGACATTCCAATGAGCTTTGTTCACGAGAGACTGAAGGAGAGACTTGTCGTTTGCATTGTTTTCTAAGCCATTCGCTACAATCACATTCATAAGAGCTAAATCATCTGTCGTCTTTGAAGGCAATGACAAAAAAATCTATATACCTTTGAGAGAAGCTCATTAATCTTATCAGGACACTGTGTTATCATTTTAAAATACTGCCTTTATTTGCTATGATATTTGACTGAACTACTCATTTAAAACAAAGTTCATTTCACTACATACAAGGTAACACTGATTATTGATTGAGAAATCGAGAACGAAATTAAATCACTCATCCTGTAGTGGTCAACTGTCTTCTGTACAGACCATCCCTAAACAGTAAGACAATTTGTGATAATGAGAATAGGAAAAATGATGGAGTAATAAAAACAAATGTCCTAATGGAAGTACCAAGTGGGGGCTTTTGAAAACAATAAAGTGGTTACTTAATGCCAAATTACAAGGTAGGCAGTCCAAGTTTCAGTGGTGATATAATTTTTTTAGTTAGGTCTTCACCAGTCCTCACGAAATTATCTTGAACACAATTCAATAGAACTATTTCGAATGTCAGTCTTCCACTTTTATGAGGTACAAGAGATATAATCAAGGCAGCTGTCCACTATCCCAAATGATATTCCTGATTGTAGTGGACTTGATGATGTGACAGACCGTGGGGTGTGAGGTGGAAATTCTTTGTGCCTACAAGGAGGTCTTAGAAGACCTGGACTTCCCAGACAATATCTGCTTAGTGGTGCACAAACTAGATCTGTAAGCGAGAGTCAGTAATTTGGCAGAAGGACCAGGAAAGATAGGGCTACAAGTGAACATTGAGAAGACAGGGATGATGGTGTTATAATAATATTACGTTATTGCTTGATGCAATTCTACCCAAGGTTCATAATGCGGTAGGTTCAATGTTTGGGTTACATTTTAGCTTGATTCACTATATATTTATATTTTTGCTGTGAGACTCGCACAAGTGTTTCTCTAGTTCCATAATTGTAACCAATAACTCTTTCACTAATTAGCTATGGTAAGTCATACAAAAAGGCCACGAACTCAGTCACCTGTTAACCTGATGACTGATAGTACATATATGTTCGCAACAACGAGCAGCACAACTCCCACGAAATATGGAAGTGAGGCGCACAGCTCGCCAATACGCCGAAAGCGTCAAGCTGCTGTAAGACTACCATCTATCGTGGCCCGAAATGACAGCAAAACTATTCTGACAACTATTAGTAGCATCGCTTCTACAAACTCATCACCTGTTCGTGATGTAGACCTCTTCACTACACCTTATGTACGTATCACAAAACTTCAGATACTAAGTTCAGCTCCAACACTTACTTTAGAAATAGAACGACTGTAGCTGTCTGTAGAAGAACTGAAGACTGAGATGCGGGACATGAGGTGTAGTAAAGTTATGAAGACAGGATTTTCAGAAAATTCGACCAACTTATCTGAACTATCGACACAGATTAGTGACATACAATCACAAGTCTGTGAACTTGCACCTCTGAACATCCTGACTAGGACCATAAACCCTGGCGAACCCGACACGGAATCAGTAACTAAGGCAGACACCTTGATAAACTTCATCAGAGCAGAGGTTATCAAAAGACTTGATACTAAACTAAGTGTGATTGTCTATAATATACCAGATAATGGGGAGTTGAAAAATGTTCAAAGCATCTTACTTAGGGCGACGAAAATGCCTAACCCTCAAAAAAATGTCACAAACTGAAGAAGAGTCAGCACGACCACTGCTGTCTTATACGCCTTCAGTTTGAAACTCAGACAGAGGCTAAGAAATTCACCAGTACACAACGCATCTTATTACAGGACACAAGCTACAAACAAACAAAGTTGTAGCGGATAAGAAAGTGATTGAAAGGCGTGTCTACAATCACCTCAATAAACCTAATAGCAGGACACCACAAGTCACTAAAATGGATAAACACACAACCAACACCGTAGAACTCATAGCCTCCCCCCTCTCAGATCTCACAAAATTAGCTCCACAGAAAAGAAACCAAACGAAAGACTTGTGAGCTATAGTCTTAGTCCTAAAGTAACCTCTCCTCCCTCTACCGTGGATCTAGATATGTCTATGGACAACCATAAGATGGAAATCAACCCCTCTTGTAAGTCGACAACATCTTCTCTTAGCCAAAATGTGACTACCCAAATGGAATTCAGTAACAAAACATGCCAAAATACACCACTTGTTATGAATAATCCCTAACATATTTAAACTTCTAAGAATAACCCACGCTTTAAGGTAAATAATACTCAAAAATATGTTAGCAACCAAATTAAAAACACAAATAAGTACATAAGGTTCAATGACAATAACGATACAACCTACCAACATACTGTGTCAAATCACACTAGTGGCTGGTGTAGTGGCACTATCAGGCAGAGTAGTATAAGTGACAACACTCAGAGCTCAGCTACCAACCACTCTTGGTCTTCAAAGTATGACACACGAACCAACCTTGGCAGATTATACGGAACAAGTCCTCTGGGAATCAAACCACAGTGCAGCCATGCATATAACGTATCCCATGTAAGGTAACTTAGAATGTCCTTACACAATGGGCAGATCAACAAGTCATGGGCATCACAAGGTACCAATGATTTTTTATCCAACACATCCCTGTCAGCGCTGACCAAACAGCTGGCGGGGATGCTAACCCTTCTGACGCCGTGCCACTAATGTCAGCTCCCTACCGGGAAGAAAAGAGACACAGGCTAGTACACACGGAACTATTAATCACACCCAATGAATGTACAACCATAGGCCAAATAAAAACTCCGACCCAAGTCTCCAACCTACCCAAGCCTTGAACTGCGTCATCGTATGGTTTATCTAATAATCAAACCCATTACCCACTAAAAAAATGGATAGTTACTCGACAGACATAGGTGAACATGGTACCCAAACTAGTTGCAACACAGGGTTGTTATACCACGCGGAAACACTGGAAGTCGATCCACACTTGAACCTTATTGACGAACTTAAATACTTAAAACACTACTTCAAATCTCAACTCTACTTAATATTTATTAATGCTAGATCTATTCTTAACAAACTACCAATGCTCAGGGTACACGCGCCGGTATACAACCCCCAATAACTATTATTACCGAATCCTGGTGTCACTCCAATATACTAGACGAAGAGATTAGCACCGATGGGTACACACACTTTCGATGTGACAGGAAGAGTGGTAAGGGAGGAGGCTGCCTAATGTACTTCCTGAACACACTTGCTGTATTACAGCTAGAAAATAGGGAACTCAATGACATGCATGACACCCTATGGGTCAACGTACACTTCAAAAGTGCTACACTACTAATAGGATGTATCTACAGAGCAACTGGCACCTTAAGTGATTACGAGACACAACTTATAAATGTACTGGAGCAAGTATCCACTCTTCCATACGAGCATAAGATCATATTTGGAGACTTTAACCCACCCGAAATCAACTGGGATTTATTAACAGGCCCAACTAAATATGACAAGCTCTTAGGTACACTGAACATTTTCGGCTGGAAACAAACTGTCACTATCCCTACAAGAGGTGACAACGTACTGGACTTCATATTCTGTCACGATATAAGTCCCATCTCAATCTTAGTGGGTTCTAAGTTTTCAGGTAGTGACCACAAAACAGTGATGTGTGCTCTGCCACTTCCACTGAGTAGCCATGCAGCTCATTCCTCCACTTCACAACAAGTAATATATAGGAACTATAGTAAGGCAAACTGGGCCTTCGTAGAATCAATGCTAAGATCCTCTGAATGGGGCGAATACTTCACTACTGATGACCTCTCGAGAGCTCTGAGCATCTTCTACCAGAACTCAAACACATGCTTAGATGCTGTCATTCCACTCAAATCACTAAAGGTTTCCCCAGAAAGAGAGTCATTTATAAAAACGAAAGGATCGTGCGAAATTGAGGAGACTCTCGACAAGTTTCTTCAAACACCACCCTTAGCTCCATCTCACAAGCTCGAGATTTGTGTATGAGAGACGAAGAACGCACCGCAGTAGTCAGCCCTGCTATGGAGTATGCTCTCACAGATATCTTAAAGAAGCTAATGAACCGCAAAAGTCACAGCGTTTCTCTCCTCATAGACAAAGGTAGGCTATGCACTAATTCTGCAGAGATGTATGAATTATTCAACAAAACTTAAGCCCTCAGTTCAGTTACTCGATATACACCCTGCTAATAATACGGCACAAACTTCATCTCTACTCACACCAAAACAAATTAGCACTGTTGAATTCACTTATGCTAACATAAACCAAACTATAAGAACCCTAAAATTCTCGAAAGGTTTTGGTACTGACGGCATATCATCCTATTTTTATAAATATGGAGGCCCTGACATTCCCTTGCTACTGCTTAAAATATTCATAATGTCCTTACAAACCCAAACTTACCCTGATATATGGAAAACAACATTTATTATGCCTAAGCACAAATCTGGCTCGAAAACAGAAGTCAGTAACTACAGGCCAATCATTATCACACCTATAGCATCTAGAATTATGGAGAGACTAGTTAAAGATAACCTAATCAAGCACATGCTTAGTTGCAACATTGTCAGTCCGAACCAACATGGATTCCTAAAATCCAGATCTTGTTTAACATGCCACCTTGACTTCTTTAACTTTGTAGCCAGCAGTCGTGACAGACGACAACTAGTACTTGTCACTTACTTTGACATCTCTAAGGCATTTAACCGTGTCGACCATTTACTGCTAATACATAAGCTGAACTCCTTAGGAATAAGTGACCCGCTATTAGGATGGCTTGAATCATTCCTTGACAACAGGTTTCAAATAGTTGAACTCGGGTCTGTAACTTCGAAACCTAGCCCAATCACCTCTGGTGTAGTAAAAGGTAGTGTCTTTGGGCCCCTCCTATTTACTCTATATATAATAATAATAATAATAATAGTATATTCTCATTTTGTACATGAGGGACGCCAGTTTACAGGCATCATCAATATGATAAATTACATATACGATTAGTAAACATATTTAATAATAGTAATTTAATAAAATACATTTTTTCCTACCTGTGTAGGACACACCAGTTGTACAGGCATAGATAAGTATTATTTAAATTACATAAATTTGGTTCAT